TTTTCTGCAGAATAAAGAATTCAATGATATTTTCCCTCTGAATGTATTATATTTTGTGCTTGTGTTTCTGCTTTGTGAATGCAGAAAATTTAGGATTGATCTCATAAAGATTAAAGTAGGACCAGTTGGAAATAGGCATGGTAAGATCACATTGCATGTAATTTTCATGCCACTCATCCATACTTGATCTATGTCATTGAATATATTGGTGCGATGACCATGGAAGGTTTAGTTACGCTTGAAAGTGACAAAAGCCGCCATGATCTCATATTGATATAGGAGGTGGACCAGATTGTATCTAAGGAGGAATCTAAAGAAAAATAGCATACAGTTGCGCACTAAAGATATATGATATAATTATCTCAAGTTAATATGTGGCCCAAGTGGGAGATTGTTAAGAAATTATATTTTCTAATAATCATTGTGGGTCACATATTATATTAATAATTATATTGTGCTATTTATATATATTGGGTAAATTAAAGTGATCAGTTAAATATTCCCAAACAGATTCCTAAGTGAGTATGGGCTGAATGAGTGGATATCGGTGTTGGGCCAACTAGGTATAATGGGAGCTTATTGGCCCAATAATAAAGATAAAAACACTATAAGGGTTATGGTCCCCAAGACGTCAAATTATAACCCTAGTTTTTCTTCCCCATCAAGAGAAAGACAGCACACTAAGAAATTCGATTTTAGGGTGATTTGACTGAGAAAGACTACAAACCCCAAGAGACAAGATCAAAGTTATTCTGCTGCAATGGAGACAGGTATGCCTCCACCTTTATATTCTTATTTCTTTATGATTTGGTATGATGGAGCTTGGCTTGTAGGTGATAGTTATCACCAAAAGGTTTAGAGGAATTAAAAATTCCATCAAGATTAACTTGCCAATAAGTTTCTGATATTGTCTTGGGTTAGATAGAGGAGTATATCCTTTCTCAAACTTGTTATTGTATTCCATAAGGGTATCAATTAGTTTGGATGCCTTTTTTCCAGTCTCTTTTAGAAGATCCAATACATATTTCCTTTGTGAGATGAACAATCCTTTATTGGATTCAACAATTTCAATTCCCTGGAAGTACTTTCGGTGCCCTAAGTCCTTGATATCAAAAGTCATACTGAGATACTTCTTCAATTTATCTATTTCAATCACATTATTCCCTGAAATGACCATATTATCTACATAGATAAGACTGCAATGGTATTTCCATTCCAGTGTCTTATAAATAAGGTGTAGTCTGACTTACTTCTGATGAACCCAAAAGTAGTAAGTGCCTTGCTCAACTTTTCATACCAAATATAAGGAGACTATAGATGGCATGCTTCAGTTTGCACACTTTATACCAGGTTGATACTCAAGAGGGTTCCTGAAGGCAAATCTATGTAGACTTCTTCTTCAAGATCTCCATGCAGAAAGACATTTTTAACATCCGTTTGGAATAACAACCATCTATGATTGACGACGACAGACATAAGGACACTTATTGTGTTCATTTTTTCTACTAGCGCAAAGTCTCTGTGTAATCTACACTATAGGTCTGAGTGTATCCTTTAGCAACAAGGAAGGCTTTATGTCGCTCAATAGACCCATTACTTTAATATTTGATTTTATAAATCCACCTGCAACCAACAATGTTCTTACCTTGAGGAAGAGATACAATTTCTCAAATGCAGCTTTTATCAAGAGCAACAAATTCATCATTCATAGCAGCTTGCCATTCTGGAATTGACTTTTCTTCTTCAAAGGTGGCAGGTTCATGATGTTTGTCAATGGTGGTTATGAAGGTCCGATTTCCACTAGAAACATGATCAAGGCATACACAGTCTTGAATATGATAAGTGACAATCATAGAGATGTAGTCTTTTAATTTGGTTGATAGCCTGATCGTTCTAATGGATCATCGCATAGTGTGATCCGACATTACTAGTGGATTAGAGGTGGAGGTCTCAACAGTCTGATATGGTATTGCTAGTGGAATGGAGGTGAAGATCTCTACTTCAGGCACATCAAGAGGTGGTACTACATTTGTCATTGGTTTCGCATCTGCTGGCGATACTATACTTTTTGGTTCACATGGAATCGGTCTGGGATCTACGGGTGGTACTGTATCTATCGATGGTACTATACTTGTCGTTTCACATGAAATCGGTCTGGCAGAAAAATCCAGTTGTGTACCAATGTCAATCTCCCCTTGATTGGGTAGAACTGAACCGGCGGTGGTGGTGGCACACGTGACAGTGCCGGACGAACGGATGGACGTTGGCGCGAGCAGTAACCGATCTAAATCGATGGAAGATGATGATGACTAAGAACCGATCTGAACCGGTGGCGACATTGATGGCACACCCAGGGAAAGGAGCGGCGGCAACGAGAGCTGATCGTCCAAGATGGCGTGAGGTGGACAACGATGGTGGCACACGCAAGCAGCAGTGCGTAGGCGGCGAGAACTGGCCTTCTGGGGTGGCGCGAGGTGGATGACAGTGATCGGATGATGGTGACGTGACTTGACGATCCGGCGGTGCAAGGAGGCTGAATAATTTTTTGGGCGGTGGCAGAAGCTTGGAGAAGTAACCCTCAGTGAACAGTTTGGGGAGGGTATTTGGGGGGGGGGGGGGGGGGGGCAACTTTAAGGATAATTTGGGACAATTCAAAAAATATGGTAATATTTGAATTTTGAACCAGCTCTACTCTACATACCATGTTACAAGTAAAGAAAAAAAACATACAAATTTGTCATGGTTCATCCTTTAAGCGTACGTTCACACTGATAATATTTCTCCCCCTCTCATTGATGATCAGGGGGGTCCCTTTAATATAAATAGAAGATGATACAATAATTAGACCAAATTATTTTGCCCACAATCAACTACATTAGGTGATTTATTACTCCTTTTGTAAGCAATATTTGATACAGAATTACAATCAATTAATTTCCTTAATTTGTCTCCTCTGATATTTCCAACAGTGACATAATATATGCAATGTTGATAGATCAAAAAATGTGTCATACATAAAAGCATAAGTATCGAAAAAACATGTAGTTAACAGGTCGACATTTTCACAATTAGAATGCCAAATTTGGAACTTTGGTTCTACTTGTGACAGTGTCGCTTGCTTACCACCACACCCGTTATTCGTAATTAGAATGAAGTCTATAAGTAAAAGGACAGCATTGAGAGAAAAAAATGCACTATGTACCATGCAAAGATAAGGTGTCAGGATGCCATAGACATTTCAACCTGAGGGGAATTTGAGCCCATGAAAAATTGAGAACATGAACACAATCCTTTAAATAAATAATCCAAACCATTTAAAAGATAATCCAATTATCGTAAACAGTAAAATGAAAAACATAAGATATTGTAAAAGGGAAGAATTAGGCAAAGGAGATTGTTCTCCCATAGCTGTTGCTCTTTGGGATGGTTCTTAAGTTTGGGATTCGTGGCTAGCAAAAGAGGAACACCATACATCGATGGGGAAAAAGGCAAGGGGAAAAAATATAAAACTTCACAGGATACTTTTTCCGTTCAAATATGCATTTGCTTCAAGTTTTTGTGGAAAATTTGACTTCTCCTGGCATTGCTTAAATGTGAATACATTAAAAGAAGGGTTTTATAAGAGTTATGTCGTAGGAAAAGTGATTGTGTAATATTATAGAAATTCGTTTTGCGTGTCGTAATTTTTCTTTTTTCTTTTTCTTCAAAAAAAATGTGAGCTCCACAAAATATTTATGCGTAGAAAAGTTTGTTGTGTCATGTTAAATGACAAATACAAACTCCTTAAAAAAAAAATCACTTACTTGATCTGTGGGGACCGAAAGAAAATGGAAAGAGGTATAAGAATCACGCAGAATGCAGACTCAATTTTTTCAATTAACAATGAACATTTACCCAAACACCCCTACTGGGCTAGGTGTCTAGCAAAGGAAACAGAAATGAGGTAGTAAAATAAAGACCAATCTTTTGTTGTTGATAGAAATAATGAGCAATCTAGTAATCAAGTAGTATCATTTGAAACTGTCCTGAAATGAAATGAACCTTTATTAGCTTTCACTTCAAATTCCTTGAACTTGACCCATCTAGGATATTCCATGAACCTTCCTCTACCATTTTTATTGTTTTTGTAGTCAATGAGTTCATATGCTTTTCACATAATAAAATCAGTATTGGGATTCTCTGTCTCGTGCAGATGGCATTTGCAAAAATGTCTTTGCAGAAGAGACAGCATAAAATATAATTTCAAAGCAACAGTCCTCTTCAAAAAAGTACCAAGGTAACTTGTTTATTCCTAGAATAAAATTTAAAGAAAATATGGACAGCTACATCAATATATTGTTGGTCTTGGGTTTAGCAAGGACACTGAAGAATGAGAGTCTCGAAAGTTGTTTATGATGAGAACCAAAACCAATGTTGAACAAATTTTTTTTTTTTTATTATTTGATACTGAAAATTTTAGTGATAAAAAAGTATATAAAAATCTAATGTTTGAAAAGATTTTTTATTTTTTAAATTGCGTGTTTATATTTTGAAAATATTAGCATTTTAGAAAATAAAAGGCTATTAAATAAATAAAATGTCTTTTAGGAGCAAATTACAAAAAAAAGCACTTATTACACTTGCTAATTGGCAATTTTTCATTTTTTTTATTATTAAACAAACGCCACAAAATCATTTTTAATTTTAAGACTAAAACCTCCAATTTTTTAGACTGATTTTATTTTCAATCAAGCCCGTAGATAAATTCAATAGGCAAAATACCCATAAAAAGTAAAACACATCTCTCCGGAGCGGAGATCATATTAATATAAGAACATGTGCATTTGATTATAAACGGGAAGTTGCAATAAAAAATGAAGCGCAACTATAAACAAGTAATAGCACCATTGCATTAGGTATGAAACTGCAATTAGCAAATGAATCAGATGCAAGAAAAACTCATATATAAATATATATAACACAAGACAGAACACTAGAACAGGCATGTCCATAAACCGGAAGGACGGCATGAAAATCCAGAAATATAGTCTAATCATTTTGCTTGCATAAAGATGAATGATAACTGCGTTCACAATTGAGTATGCAAGTCTACGAATAACAAGTCTGAAAATTATACAACAAAAACGGAAAAGCTGTGGATCACTTCGATCCAATTATGACACCAAAAGGCACTACAGATTCCGGGTCAGGCTTACAAAATCAAAGAGTCATGTAAGAGAGTGTATTTTCATCAATCTTCATTTTAATTTCTCAAGCCTATTGCATAATCAGTCACGCCAATTTCTCTACACTGTGCACTGCCATCCTTTTTCGGTTTACCATCCTCGTGTAACATTTCTGCCCTACAAGGTTTTGAAGCATTCTCTCTCCCATTCCAAATGCATGTTCTTCAGGTGAACTAGGCTACGTGTCTTCCTTAGGCTTTCTAAACATCATCCAATGCCTCATTAGCTTCTGTGATTATCTGAAGGAGGTCTAAAGGAGTAGCTGCTGGATCCAACTCTCGACAGTCCTTTGGAGCATTATGAGCTTCTTGGCCAGTAAGCAAGTAATTAGGAACCTGATGAGAGAATCTAAACATCTCCTCTTTAGGAATCCTCCTCACCTGATCATGGTCCATGTGCCTTTGAAACACTGTCCTAAAACCGGCAACCTTAATAAGGGGGGTAACTAAAATACCTTGCTCTTCATCGAAATCTTCAAGAACCTCCACCATATCATACTTGTGTATCACTTCATCTGGAGTATGTTCGCTCCAATCAGGAGACCAGTTTCTATAAATAGCCCAGACTTCCCCCTTTCCAGGAAATATGCGAATAATTCCTCTGGTGCCTTTTGTCCACCTAACCTTGTGTGAAAATGAATTTAATGATTCAGTTATTTCATGCTTGCCAGCCCTGAAATCCCCACAAGTTTTGTAAAAACCAGAACCTACCCAATCAATTGGGCCCAATTCACTGTTGCTTCGAGAATTAAGCCAACTGATACGCATTCTAAATGGCTTTATGGACATCACCTTCTGAATTCTAGCATAATATCGAGGCATTCCATCGTCATCATCATAAGCAGCCCAGACCTGGTCCTCCGCAAAGGAATTTTCAGCTCTATCCAAGTCAAAATTGTGAAAATCAGGGTCTGGAACATTGATTGTAACATAGGCTTGGTTCTTAACTGTATCATCAGATGTGACAGGGAAAGAATTACCGTCCAGACGCCTGTTACCATTGACAGTGGACTCTCCATGCTTCTCAGAACCAGTTGTTTTATCATTAAATGTGCTTTTCTGTCTCTTATTCTCTTTGTCCTTGTTGATAATCTTAGCTTCAGCCATTGATCTCCATTCTTGAAGTTTCTTACGAATTTCAATCCGTGACTTATCCATCAACATGTTTCGTATTTCAAACATTGACAACTCTCTTGTGCTGTAATGCTTTCCTGAAATACCATAATTCCTTTCTGTTTCCAAGTTAGCCTTTCCTGATTCAGAACCCAAACTGGCCGCTCCATGTCCCGTGGCCATATTATTTGCCATGAATCCTTGATAACCATTCATACGAATATCATCTGTCCTCCTTTTTCTCAAGGGTTTTTCAACTTTATGAAAAGAACCATCAGGCCTCTTAGACATTTGACTCCTCTCCCATTCAGCAATTGAAGGTGCTCCATCTCTCCTCACTTTCTCACTTGCCTGCTGCACAACACTGGCAGCTTGAGCAGCAACAGATGATGATCCATCCGTGCTTCCAAAACCAGCCATTCTGGAGTGAGAACCCCACTGAAAGTTTGTATTATTACCTCCAGTATGATGTTGAGAATTCTGATGCTGTTGCCGAGAAGACCAGCTTGGTGACTTAAAAACATTGGGAGGCGGACCCCTCTCTACAGCCACAAAAGCTTCATTACAGTTGGGACATAAAAGGGTATGATTCAAATAAATCCTGAGATATTCATAATGTGTCCTGCACCTATTACAGATAGTCCAAAAGGTTTCAGCCTTTTTATGTGGAGGAGGAACCGAAGTTGAAGGTGCCCGAGGTGCTCGAGCATTACTATTTCCAGTCTTCACATTTGTAGTTACATTCTTCTTGAAATTGTAAAAACCATTTGAACTGGGTGCATCTGATTGAGACCCGACATGGTTGGGAGTATTATGTTGAAAACCTTTCAAACTCCTCTTCTGGTTATATTCTAGTCTCTTGGTCTTATCTGATAGCAAACTCCAGGCCTCAGAAACCAGCTTGAATGCACCCTCTGCACCTAAAGACTTGTTTTTGTCAGGGTGAAGGGTGAGAGCCAACTTTCTGTATTGCTTTCTAACAGTCTCATCATCAGCAAAGGGGCTCACCCCAAGTATACCATACCAATCCATTTCTCCACTTACTTTATTCTCGGCAGAGATATAAATATCAAGAGTGGTCAGAAATTGGGAAAGATCCTCCAAATCAGGATACAGATTTAGAGCCTTGACAGCAAACTTCTTTGCACCAACATATTCCCTTTCTGAAAATTTCCTCTCTGCTATTTCTTTGGCCCTAACTGCCTCATCTTTGTTGCACTCCATCATTTTCGAGTCGTCTCAACTCTAGATATGCTGCTTCCTCACCTAGCTAAAAGACAGATAATTTAACCATGAACACTGGATTCTACAACATGCCACCTTCGCTTAAGAAAACCCCTCAATCTTGTACCTGAACCAAAGGAGTAAGATACTGAGACATGCCATTAAAGTTATTAAGGTTTAGATGTGTGGAGCAACAATTAAAAGTAAACCATCTTTTCAAAGTATGCATCACATATAGATATTCAAAACTATTAGAGATAAAACCTCTTTAGTCACCAGTATGAAACAACATATGTCATGCTGTGTCAAAGAGAGACAAGATATCAATTTAAGTGTATATGTCATCCATGGAAAATAATTGAAGATTATATAGTAAATCATCATAAATTCAAATGAGGAGAAATGATAAGACACTCCCTCGCATGTAGCCTTAGATCATGCTTTTCACAGATAGGGACATCATCTCTAACGAGACCTTGTGACTATACAAGTCAATATTACAATGTGATTTAATGGAAACAAGATGTGCAGGAATAACATTGCCAATGTGCGCTTGTTTTCTATCAAGCAATACAGGATCCTTAAGTATAATTTTGGTGGAACTTATGTAGAAAGAGACTGGATTATTGCCTTTTTCTTATTGGCAATAGTAAGCCGGCACATCAATTATAGAACTTATGTAGTGCTGATTTATATAGTTACATGGACCTATTACATAATCTAGCACCTTTTTAAAAAGAAGAAAATGCAATACAGTACCATGAGTGAATGTTTATGACATATTGATTTTAAATATGCTCCCCTTTTGAGAGCAGCGCAATAAGGTGTGAGCAACTCAACATTTTCTTATAATAAATATTGCACATATCATATCAGTAGGCACTAGGCAAGTTATACAGTCACTTTCAATTTACCTTCTAGGATAAGGCCCATAGTTAAGTTTCCTACTACCTAAAAAAGATTCCTTCCCAATGCCATAGTTGTTCCAAAACCAAAATATTTAGATCGCATGTTCCATTTACTACTCAGTTCTATATTTTTGTCAGTACAGTGAAAAGAGAAACAGAGAATGTAGTACAATGTTTAGCAGTGTTTTCAAATTCTTTTCTCCATTACTTTATGTCTTTCAAGGTATAGCAATAAGACAATCCACATATAAAAGATTATCCTACTCAAATACTTATATAGAATCCATCCATGTATAAAAAAACAAATTTCCAAAATTTCCTTCCTCTTCATGCTAAGTTGCTCACTAATACTGAAAGTTAGACCGAGTTTAACATACTTCTAACTTCTAAGCATATGTTAGATTATAATAGTCTGAACATTTTTTGGCCTGGGGGGTTATCACATAGGAAGGAGAGGACAGATCTAGGAGAAAATGAACTGCAAACTGCCACAAATCAAATAATCTATTGCTTGCTAATCCAACAAAGATGCAACTAGCAGAACCATTTCCTGTCACATAACCGCAAGAGCAGGGTAAATGTATTTCAGTAATCAATAATTCATTTGTAAACTCAACTCAATACAACGACCAATAATTGTTTTTCCTTCTTATCTCCCTTTGGATACAATTACAGTAACAATACCGTACTTCATGACTTCCGTAGCCAGCATCAAACAATCACAAATCAAAAGTACCAACTTTGAATCACCAAAATTAACAATAATAATAAAAAAAATAAAAAAAAAATAAAAAATAAACAATAGAGTTTGGATTGTCGATACGAATCCAGAATCCCTTAAATAATCTAATATGCGAAATTCATGCAAAGCGCAAGATGCGAAATTCAGAACACCCACACTCTCTACTCTTGGCACAAACACTTACAAGCAAAGCTTAATATGAAGAAATGAACAAAAGAAGTAAAAATGTTCAGACAAGGGAGTGAGACATGTTGGGAAATCAACCTCAATTTTTTGTTTTTTCAGACACCGAATTCGAAGTCTAACAGGATCCCGCCACGGATCTAGAGGCGCTGTGCATTTCAAAATAACTAACAACGGTCAAAATTAACAAATTTGAAATTCAGCAATTGAGTTCCTTAATCTGGAAAGTGGAAACCCTAGAAGGTGGCGAATCCCGAATCTAACGAACAATTTTAACGCGAAAGAGAGGAGGTGTTGTGTTGAGTTGTGGTGCAGTGAAGAGTAATGAAAGAGTGAAATTACCTAATTGGAGAAAAGGGTGTGACGTTGAAGAATTTGAATCTGAGAAGACCGTCACCATGTACAATGACCCATCTGTCAAAGCCCTCAGAAACTGTGAAGAATCTAATTTGCCCCAAAATACTAGTGAAAATGGTAACCCAGTGCTGTGCTGGTTAATAGCTTTTTATATATATATATATATATATATATATATATATATATATTATTCTACCTACTTTTTTCCTATCATTCTCTAATACCGTTAGATCAGGATTTCAATTGCCTTTATCATTTCTCTTTTTTATTGAAATTCTAATCTAACGATAATGGAGAGTGTTAGACAAATGTAGGGAGAAAAAAAATAAATAGAATAACATATCGCAACGTGTGTGTATATATATATATATATATATATGAGGAAGATTATACTTACAACTTATTTTTGTTTACAAAAAAAATAAATATATATATATATACTTAGTTTTTTTTTCTCTTTTATTCTTAGAGGGGGGATATTTTGACTACCAAAAGTGTCAACTACCACCTTACTACCTATCAAATCACCATTGGATCAAAGAGAGAGAATGTTAAAAAGTTTTTGAAGAGAGAGAAAATGTTAATTCAATGGTGATTAAATAAGTAGTAAGGTGGTAGTAGAAATTTTTGGTAGTCAAAATATCTTCCCTCTTGTTCTTAACCCAAACATACCTTTTTTTATAATAGATTGAGACCCAAATACTTTAACTAGGGTTAACTTTTAACTCATGGTCTTTGGAATTAGGTTTTCAGCATATGCTAAAAGGATTTTAAATTCTTAGTCTAAAATTTTATGTATGAATATTTTTCTATTAGATATTAAAATAAGTAAAGTTTGATTAGTTGACTCGAATAATTCGATAAAATTTAAATTGAAATTTTTTTAACCTAACTTAACCTGATTTGATTTGACCAATTTTGAGTCATCTCATGACAACTTGCTTTATATTAGCTGACTCAATTTAATTTATTTTTTCTTTTATAAGAAAATTCTTACATAAATTTAGTACATCTAATTATATGCATTAAGCTACTCTCTCTACTTGATAATATATATCTTTTTTTAAGATTTATTTTATTTCAAATCGTTTGTTACTTTTTATACCAATGAAGTAATGATTATTACTTTTCCAGTCTTACCTTTATTTATTTTTATTTTTAATCTATTGACTAGTTTTTTCTTTAATAAAAGCTTTCTAACTAATTGAGTTATTCTATCTTTTTATAATTATTACTAATCAAACCAAATACAATATGGACTGGCCAAAGTATATCGGGCCTAATTACACACGGTTGATGTGGAGTGGATGCTCTTCTTCTTGGGCTTTGAGTGGTTGATCAGGATCAATGTGTTCTTGTCTTTTATTGGCGCGATGAGACTGGATAGGGGGTACCTGCGAAGACACTCTCATGCTTAAGTCAGTATCATAGGCAGGTGTATGTATGTTTTTAATGAATTAGATAGATGTACCTGGGTATGTACCCTCTGCTTATATAACGGTTCTGATGCCGCCTTCATAAGGCGGTATGGCTTCTGATTGGCCATGTTTGGGCTGCAGGTCAGGCAAGGATCTAAGTAGCCTTATCTTCTTAGTATCAAGCTATCTTGATAGAGTCGCGGCGAGCTGTTGTTGTTCTCTGTTTATTAGTTCAAAGGCATGGTGAACTTGCCTTGGTTTTTAAGTTAGCTTCCTTATCTCTGGATCTTATACCAAAGGGCGGTTTCATGCACGATAGGGGCATCGCGTCTTGCTATGCGCGCGATGTTGACCATCGCGCTTAATTATGGACCCTTTATGAGTTTGGGCTCCTTTGTATGTTATTGGGCCTCTAATGGGTCTACTATATTTTATCCAGATCAGTTGCCCCCTAGCTTGCAATTTTGTCATGTGGCAAAGCTGTGAGGTATATATATGTGTTTGTGCGCGATATATTCATCCCGCATGTCATTTTTTGATAGCCGCGATAATCATGTTAAAATGTCATCATGATTTTTAGTCGCTTAAAAATGGTGGATTAGACGTTAACTATCAGAAGCATTAAATGTTGTTGCAATTATGTGGGTGTTTAATGGTAAGCGTGGGTAGTTTTGAAGTGTAAACGTTTTACCTTCTCCCCACGTGTCCGTGTAAAACCGTTTTACTCAACACGTTTTGTGACCTTCAGACTATCCGTTTGATAAAGCTTTTTCATATTTGTACTGAGCTATTCGGTTTGGAGGGAAAATACTTCATTGAGACCGTGAGAGATCTTATGTTCCTCAGTGCTTGCTTATTTCTTCTGCTTTCTCGGTGTTGACACGTCCTGCTCGTGGTTGGTTTATTTAAAGTATAAATCTCAAGTATGTTCTTCATCCTGTTTTATTACCTCATCTGTTTCATCGTTCTTTTTTTTTATGCTTGGGATATGTTTGATTATCGCAAATTTGTGAATTTTATCAGATTAACCGATCGGTCTGGCTCGTCCAGTCCCCCCTCTAGATCATTACCTAGATCAAGGTCGTTAGGAACTAGGGAAGCGTGGCTTACTGACAAGTGTGCCGCTCCCTGTTCTAACATTTTTGTAAATGATAGTTGTTTTCCCCCTGTTCGACGGTTTCAACTTAGTTTGTCTTCGCGACCACTTAATAGCGAAAACGCGAAAACTCTTTCTCAACAGAGTTCATCTTTGTTCCCAAAGATTTCTTTTAGAATGACTGGTCCTATTTTGATTTTGAGTGATTCGTCTTCGAGTTCTGAATGTAGTCATAGGTCTGTAAATACAGTAAACCTGAGATCGTCCTCTTCAAATTCATCACGCGATACTTCATCTCCCATCGCGCAAGATTCTCGCGGTCAGAAGAGGCCAAGTCCCTTACCTTTAAACGTAATATACCCGGCAGAGTATCCTTTTAAGAAAAAGAATTTTGATAATTTTAAATCTGCATTTGCTGTCTCTGCTTCCTCTGACTCGTCTTCTTCTACCGATTCTTCTTCTGAATCAGATTTCGTTTCCCCTCAAATCAAGGATATTATGGCGAGACGTGGTGCTGGTGAGAAGAAGAAGCAGAAGCTGAATTCTGATACTAAGAAGAAAGTATTACTATTGATCCCGAAGGAGAGTCCCCAGCAAAACGTAATCTGCGGGATGAAGAATCCCTGAGCTGGGTAGCAGACACGGCTGAATACCGCTTCCATATACTGCTCTCTAGAAGAATTAGCGCAAGTAACAGTTGCCATCCACATTACCCCTGACAAAGCTTTTGATGATCAGTGGGAAATTGTTGTCGTCCCGTTAAATGAGCGTGTTTGCTCATCGCGCGCAGAAGAGTCCACCAGGCATTTCATTATGATGTATGCCTATTATTTCTTATCTTTAGGAGTTCGTCTTCCATTTTCATCTTTTGTTTGTAAGTTGCTGGCACATCTGAACATGGCGCCCTCACAGTTGACCCCAAATGCCTGGGGTTTTATCAGGGTATACGAGATGGTCTGCAAGGCCTGTAATCTTTTTCAATAACCAGAGTCATTTTTATACATGTTCAGCGTGATGGGACCACATTCGAGCTAGGTATCCTTTAGAAGTAAGGTGAAGTTCTGTGAATCATACTGCAGGAAAATTAACAAGTGGACCACAAAATACTTCAAAATTTATCATGTTGAAGGTGCCACCCCTTTTTTCTTGGGAGAAGATAATACTCCCATCTTCCCTTTGTATTGGACCGAGCATCCGCTAGAGGGTGCAAATTTGGTCTATAATTTTGATGATCTAAGTGATCTGGAACATCAGATTGTGACCACGCTGAGTAATATTGGGCATGAGGCTTCAAATACGGGCTATTCCCACAGAAGGCGCCAATGATCAGACCAAATACAATATGGACTGGCCAAAGTATATCGGGCCTAATCACACACGGTTGATGTGGAGTGGATGCTCTTCTTCTTGGGCTTTGAGTGGTTGATCAGGATCAATGTGTTCTTGTCCTTTATTGGCGTGATGAGACTGGATGGGGGTACCTGCGAAGACACTCACATGCTTAAGTCAGTATCAGAGGCAAGTATATGTATGTTCTTAATGAATTAGATAGATGTACCTGGGTATGTACCCTCTGCTTATATAGCAATTCTGATGCCGCCTTCATAAGGTGGTATGGCTTCTGATTGGCCATGTTTAGGCTGCAGGTCAGGCTAGGACCTAAGTAACCTTATCTTCTTAGTGTCAAGCTATCTTGATAGAGTCGCGGCGAGCTGGTGGGGCGGAAATAAGGGTGAACCAGTCAAATACAATAAGTTTATGGGTTTGTTTTTTCTAAACTTACTTTAGATAAATTTTTCTAATGTTCACCGAAACAACGTCGTTTTGCGGCGAAAATTATGTTGTTTTTTTAATTTTAATTTATTTCAGAGTTATAATAGTCTTTATCATTCTAATTTTTTTATTTTTCAACCCCAAAATGACATCGTTTCAATGAACATTAGACAAAGTTATTTAAAGTAACAATAGATACTTTTTTTCCCTAAGTTTATTCACACAATTGTGCGTAATTATAAACTATAAATATAATAACTATACATTAATATTTTATCTGAATTGATACATATAGAATGGGCTTAAAATTGTGTGTAACGTGTTGGTCCATTACTGCAGCAGATGCTTTCAGGAAGCTCAAGGAGGTGATGACTTTTTGTCCTGTCCTAGCTCTCCCAGATTTTGCAGCTCCTTTTGTGGTAGAAACCGATGCTTCTAATTCTGGCATCGGAGCGGTTCTCTTACAACATGATAAGCCTCTCTCTTTCTTCAGCAAAAGACTGGGTCCTCGCATGTCTAATGCTTCTACATATGTGCGTGAGCTATATGCTATTGTGGCTGCCATCAAACGCTGGAGACAATACCTCCTTGGTTCTGAATTTACAATCAGAACTGATCATCAAAGCATCAAGGAAATTCTGAATCAAACAATCCAGACACCTGAGCAGCAAAAATATTTGAGCAAGTTAATGGGTTATACCTTCACCATCGAATACAAGACTGGTTGTTCAAATCGGGTAGCTGATGCCTTGTCTCGGGTTTATGAGAATGGATCAGTAAATGCATTGCTGTCTCAACCTTCCTTTGATATATTGAATGCTGTTAGGCAACAAAATCTTGAAGATGCTACATTGCTGCAGTTGCATCAACAAGTTGGTGGTGGGTCAATGACTGATTCTAGCATATCGGTTCGTGGGGGAATTTTATTCCACAAGAACAGGTATTTCTTGAGTTCTAATTCTCCTTTGATTCCAGCATTAATTAAGGAAGCTCATAGCTCCTTTGTTGGGGGTCATGCTGGTACTTTAAGAACATTCCTTCGTCTCTCCTCTACATTTTATTGGCCTTCAATGAGGCAAGATGTGAAGCAAGCTGTTCGAGAGTGTCCTATTTGTCAACAAGTTAAACCAGAAACTTCTAAAGCTTCGGGTTTGCTCCAACCGTTGCCTGTTCCTGAAGGAGTGTTTGAGGAGTTGTCCATGGATTTTGTCTCTGGGTTGCCATCTTCAAAAGGATTCACCACAATTATGGTCGTAGTTGACAGGTTGTCCAAGTTTGCTTATTTTGGCTCACTCTCCTCTTCCTACACAGCAGCTACTGTTGCAACTTTATTTTGTGATCTAATTGTTCGTAACCATGGCTTTCCTAGATCAATTTTATCTGACCGTGATACTATATTTTTGAGTCATTTCTGGAAGCATCTTTTCTCCCTTAGTGGCACTACACTTCGCACTACTTCATCTTATCATCCTCAGTCCGATGGACAAACTGAGGTAACAAATAGATATTTGGAACAGTATCTGCGTTCCTTCTGCCATGATAGGCCCCATTCATGGGCTTCTTTTCTTTGCTGGGCTCAATTTCATTACAACTCTGCCACACATTCAGCAATTGGTATGACTCCTTACCAGGCTGTGTTCGGAAAGCCTCCTTTGATGATTCCTTTTTACCCTCGTGGGTTGGTTAAAATTGAGGCTATTGACTCCTTGCTGCAACAACGCAATGAGGTGTTGGCTGCATTAAAGTTGCAGCTGGAACGTGCTCGCAACAGGATGAAGGTTCAGTATGACAAGCATCATAAGGAGCGGTCCTTTGCAGTGGGTGATCAAGTTTGGGTTAAACTACAACCTTACCGTCAGGTTTCAGTGGCTAGGAGATCGAATCACAAGCTGGCACGACGGTTTTTTGGGCCATTTCCAGTTTCAAGGGTGCTAGGACCTGTAGCTTATCAGCTACAACTTCCTTCAGGGTGCAAAATTCACCCTGTATTCCATATTTCCTTACTCAAACCTTATGTGGGTTCTAGTTCATGGGTGGGAGCCTCTCTTCCAGCAGCTGCCATTGATAATCAACCCGTGCAGGAACCTTTGACAGTACTTGGATCACGTGTGGTCACTGATGGCACTTCTCAGCATCGTGAAGCCTTGGTGCAATGGTCTGAAGCTGTGCCAGAGGATGCATCTTGGGAGCCTATTGATGAACTCAGTCGTTGCTATCCACACCTGAACCTTGAGGACAAGGTTCTTTGTCAAGGAGAGGGGAATGTTACGGTAAGAAGGTCAGTGAGAAAGAAGAAGATGTCCACTCGTTTAAGTGACTATGTAGCTTAAAACTTGTGATGAAGGACACGTGTGGGATGCAGCTTATGATGTAGGATACGTGTGTTTTACTGAGTTAGTTGTTTCTGTATTGTTCAGTAATTAGTATTCTGTTAATAGCCTTACGGGTAAGGGCCCATAGATACAAAGCAATACGTGTCATGCCAAAGTGAATGGCAAGGTATAAGATACATGTAAACAGACGTTTCAGGGGTTGTTAAAAAATTCTGGAATTCTCTTTTCAATTTCCTCTGTTCTTCTTCTGCCATTAGGGTTCCCGTTTTTTTATTCATATTTTGCAGTTATTTCAATGGATTTTTAGACATCTTTTATTCTAATGGCATTATTCATAATTTTATTTTTTATTTAATTGTATTTTTACGGTCAATGAACACTTTGTAAAAAAAAGTATAAAACTTCTATTATAAGGGTTGTTAAACATTTTATTATTTTGATTATCACCAATAAACAATACTCTTTTCAGTTCTAATTTTTGGTTAGTCCAATTTTTATGTGTATGGTATTATGGATATTGTTAATTCTTTTTTAATTTATTCTTTCTACTGTATATTAAATTAATTTTTTTATTAATTCATATTAGAATAAAGTATTTTTAAACAAGGGCCTGAGAGAATTGATTTTGTTTAAAAAGATGTGCCTAACAATCATTTTGTTTGATAAAAGTTTGTAGAATTTAGGTAAAGAAAAACATTTACGTATATCTTGGCTACTACATGTGAAGAAAATGTTAAAACTGATCGATATTATATAAGTCATACTAACAGAAGCAAACGCGTGTTATTTAGTAAGGTAAAAAAAAAAAAATTACTGAACAATAGATAGAATATTGAAAATATACTGGCAACATTCCTTAACATATAATACGTGTTAAATTACTTTCCATGTATGAGGAATACATTAATAACTGCTTGATTTTTCTTTCTATAATTTTGGATTACGTAAATGTGCATACTTTCGGGAAGTTAGCACCGATAGGGGATAATAATATGCAGGAAAATCTTGCAATGCCTTTTGTAATTAGAACCTTTATTTACATTGTTAGTTTAGTTAGGTAGTTGCTTAATTCAATTATACAGTTGGATAATTTATTCACATCTGAATTCAATTGTTTAGTCACGTACTTCACTCCCATGCTTTAAAGAGAAATCCTAGCAATATATTCTTTTTTAACATTTTCATTATTATTCAAAAAAAACCATATGCTGATTTTAATGTATAACTTAAAATCCACTATATTAATAAATTTCACCTAATAATAAAAAAAATATTAAAGAGTATTGCTAACTCTTGTATAAAAAAAAAGAAAAAAGAAATGTGATTGTGTCAGCTTTCAAGTGCAAGGTACTCCAATCAATTTATTTGATAAAAACAAAAATACCAAACCAATACCTCTTTAACTTATTTATGGGAAAATACCATACCGGAATCAGTTTTGGGAAGATCATGATTCCATCGATGATAAAACAATAGAAGAGTGACTTAGATTACAAAACTAATGAATAAACAAATAACTCGTTGACATGCAGAGTCATCCATGGTGCATGTGCAGACCTCATTGTGTTCATTCAATGTTACCCTTAATAAATCTAACAAATTGATTGTATGACTTAGATTATTCTTCATGCTGACTACTGCTAGCTAGCTGGAACTGCTTTATCAGTATTAGCTGAGTATGCTTTTTCATGATGGAAACGCACCACAATGCACGTAATGTTATCTGCACTACCAAGAGTAAAAGCAGCCTCAGTTAATTTTCGAGCAGCTTCCTCAACCTCCTCTTCTGTGCCGACAAGAGAAACAACATCCTGAACAAAGGATGACACATGAGAGTAAACAAAACACATTTTCTTTGGTACATAAAGACATGCCAACATAAATTGAGGTTGTTGGTCCAAGAATATTATTCATCTTCAATTACAGTATTGATAACTTTCATGCCATGACTATGTCAATTATACACCTTCATGCTCATTATTTTTTCTTTTCTTGTTTATTTTACCAATTATATGTTGTTACTGAGGATAATCCACTCCTGCCTGATCAGAAATGAATATAGAGAGCATCAAAGACGAATCTTACTTCATTGGGAACTACATCCCAGAGTCCATCACTTGCAATAATAAGCAGCTCGGTTTCTTCCTCTATCTCCTGGTCCTGAAAATAAATTACATTGTCAACATGATCAAACCCGTTCGCTTTAACATGCAACTGTTCATTGCAACGAAGGTGATCTTCTTCTTTCTTTCTTTTTTGCCTGAGAGCAACAAAGGTGATCCACATCATGGATGTGATTCAACCATAAAATATGAATTAAGGCCTCCTGCTTCATCAAAGGAAAATAGACAATCTAATCGTTTTCTTGCTACAATGAGAAACACAGCAAAAAGTTGCTGGAGATAACATGGCTCCCACAGAAGGTTTTGAAACTCTGGGTACTTACATGACAAAAGTATATACATCAACAACATTTTTATTCCAAACAAAAGTTTGAAAATATGGACAAAAATCACAAAGCTCCAAAAAAGAATGTTGGTTATATAAGATTATTACTAACCTATTCAACCGGCAGCTCAAACTAACTATACTTCTAGCCCATGCTAAAACCGTTAAACCATTAACTAAATTTCAGTTAATAAGATTAAAACCACACACATGCTAGAGATTTGGCGATTTAGTGAACAGTCCATTAACTTCTGGCCAATAATTAAAATGGGAGCCATAATAGCCAAATAACCCATAAACAATGACTTCGAGGGGATTCTTTTTTGCCCTTCTTTTGTTAGCTGGGTTATTGCCACTTGCTCCTTTTTCTCACTTTTTCCAATTTGCAGAATTCCCAAACCCTCAACCCCACTCTGTTTTCATAAGAAGTTTATAAATTAGATAACTTTGAGATTTCACAAAGTATCTTGAATCACTAATTGCCACTTGCTCCTTACTATCTTGAATCATCTAAGGACTAAGATATTAATAGATTAGATAACTTTGAGATTTCACAAAGTAATCAAGGGTTACCTGAATCTCAGGTTCTGCTACAACAAACTGCTTCAGCATACGATTGCCAAAGGCACGAGACATTGCTAGCACCCCTCCAACCCTCCAAGTACCTGATCAGCAAATAAACACATGTGAATATCTCCTCCATGAGCTAATCATTTCATTCCCTGATCAAAATTCCATCCCTTAGATGGCTGAAATTTTTTAAGATGAAGATATGAAGCATTTTTATTCCAATCTAGCATAAGTTGAGAACTCTGCATACATCAATCAAATGTCAATATGTTGTCCACCAACTTCAACCACTGATTTGCATTTATAAAACATTGAGCATGCAATAGACATGCAAAGTTCATCGTTAAGCCCAACAGGTTTAATCGTCCACAAGCCAGTAACACATTTACCAGTGTAGTTTAAACTTATATTTCGTGTCAAGATTTCCACAAAAAGTAGATTTAAAGCATATCAATCAACCAGAACAAAATACTCCATGCATATTATCATGCCAACAAAAACCTGCACAAACTTCCAATGTCACCACCAAATTGCTTCAAATCTCAACTTTGGCCAAAGATGACCTAATGAAAAGCCCATCAAAATCTGAACCATCCCCATTGTATCTTGCACCAAATGTACCAAAAGCATATTATCAACAGTGGAACCATCTAAAACAGTAATTTTTATGCTTGAAAATCATATGTCACCTGTCCACATGACGACACCCCCAGCATTCTCAATTCTCTTTCGCTCATCACTTCTATTAGGCTTATGATCCTCAGAGAGAGCAATTGCTGTCAAAAAAGAAACCCAGAGTTTAAGAAGTCCTTACATACTCAAATTCTCAAAATGCATTCAAATGGAAGTAAATAAGAAAATTGGTCACATAATCATTACCAAAACCCTATCAGCAGGCTAGGAAACCCTTGTCAAAAATGCTTTAATTTCTATATGACCTCTATATTTACACTATTACCTTTCTCTAATAATCAAACCACTTTGAATTTGTTTTTAAAAAAGAAGAAATTTCTCTAATACGTTTCTCTTAAAAATATGATATGAAAATTTATTAGAGATATGAGAACTTAGTACATTACCAACATTATTTAACTAGAGAACAACTGTAATGTGATGAAATCAAAATATAGCAGGTAATCTAGTACCTTTTCCAGATTTTGATATTACAGTTCTAGAATCTCCAACATTAGCAACGTAAAGATGGTTATCAACCAAAACTGCTGTTGAAGCTGTAGAACCATCATCCCCGAAAGTATCATTTTCAGAAGCCAGAAAGTCAGCATCAGTCTGCTGATATGTTTCACCTGCAAGCTTACCAAATATACTATAACTGCACATACTGGTGGTAGAAAATGAAAAGCATTCCACGTCGGAACCCAGCCCCAGACCCCATAGACAAAATAGGACCAGCACTTAAGGGATGCACACCCAAACAGTTCCAATGATGTTAGATCTGACAAGAAAGTATTAACAAATGGTAAAAAGTGACACATCTCCAATATTACAAAAAGTCAAACATGTAAATGAAGCACGAGAGAATGCAAACACACTTATAGCCAATTTGGTATCCGTCAAAAACTTTGGATGCTTCGTGAGATTATCAAAGAGATGCTCCTTCAAATACTCAGCAGCACGAGAACCACCATGACCTATACGGAATTTTAAAAATATATTTAGACATATTAGCAAAACAACAATAACAGATGATCATGTAAGGCCACTGAAATATAGGAAAAAATAAACATGGACCCAAATAGCAACTAATATTATACTTTCTCCCTTAATTTCATTAAGCTAAACTGTAAATAACCTGCTTCACTCTTGGCAAATAACATGTAGTTTCAACATTCAATTTCAGAAATCAAACTGCTAAGCTTCAAACAATTTGCATTTAACCCTTTCCATTCACCAAGAAATAGGAAATAAATGTAAGGAGAGGGGGTCAATTGAGCTGAGGGTTTGGTGGAATTTGATTCAAGAAGTGTGCTTCTCAGGGAAACGTCCAAATGTCCTTAAATTTACCGACTTTTAGAAATTGCATTTTCAGCTAGGATTAATACGTTTGATATTTTGTATGGTAGGGGTTATTTTCCACATGCTGAAAGTTCAAGTGGACTACTTCCAAACTTGGAACTGCAGATCGTTATTTGCCACGAGTGGATTATTTGCCAAAAGATCATAATTGATGCAGGTTATCTGCATTTTTGCCATTTTATTTCTGTCTTCACTTTTATTTCTCTTTTTTCCCAGATGGAAGTTAGGTACAGGATAATAATTTTTTTGCGTTTGATTAGATGTTTTTCTGCTAAGGATTTGCATGGTAGGAACATTACTAAGTTTACCTGAAAACATGACACTGACAATCACAAACAGCCAAACATATATAACTCAGGAAGCATTTTAGATATAACATTAGATGATATGAACATAATTTGGGTGTTTCATTTTTCTCCTTTTTTTTCTCTGCTTAGGGCAAGAAACGAAATAATTAGTTGGAGTTAGTAATATTTGGAAACTAAATTATAAACCATTTGATCCAAGCTTATCATTTAATGTTTTCCCTGAGTTTTTAAAATTGTTAGAGAATAATATAAATCATTAAAAAAGGCCCTCACTCAACACCTTAAGGTTTTGGGTTGAAATGGTTCTTTACATGGTATCAGAGCTTGAGTGACCTTATGTGAGGCCTATGCAATATGAATGTCAATAATTAAAGAAATCCTATGTACAACACCCTTCCTTTGTGTTGCACGGAGAAAAGGAAAGAACTAAATTTCTCCCAAACAAGTGATGAAGCTGGAACTCTTACCATCAAATATTCCAAATAAGCGTACTGATTGACCGTTAATCTTTGATGTCTTAATATCATAGAAATCCTCCATGGTCACTCTCATCCCCCTAAAGCTTGAAAACCCACAGCTAAGTCTTCCATCTTCGCTGCCAATTAAAAATTCAATGAAATAAGCACAATTTGATCACAAGATAGATAGGAAAAATGCATAAAGCACAACACAAATCCAACCACTTAAGAAAATTAAAGTATTCATTAATGCCATTCTTCCACGGTAAGCGCTACTAAAGTTTCACGTCCATAGGAATCTTAGTCTGGATGAATAAAGTTGTATCAGCTTAGGAATGTCAAAAGAGTAGAAATAAATATTATGAATTTAACTTCCTTCCTGATTTGAGAGCAAGCCTTGGAGCAGCAGCAAGATTGCACCTGTGAGTCTGTGACTTACCAGAAGGTCACAACTTTGAGTATGAGAAACAACTTCTTTGCAAAAATGCAAGGGTAAGGTTGCGTAAAATCAACCATCCTCCCTACCCTCACAAGTCGGTGAACTTTGTGCACCAAGATTTTTCCTTAAACTTCCTTCATAATTTAAAGTGCAATATGTCATCAAAATTCAGGCTTCAGCCCCCAAAAGTACTTGATGACCTTCTGACAAAATATACTATCTGCCATAGCTCCTGCATTTTCCTTCAGTCTAACTTTTGCATGCACAAAGAGACAATAGGATAAATAAAAAATAACCAACCATGGTGCACATTTTTTGTGATTGTTTTGCACCCGCTGAAATGTACAAGGGAAATGGTGACCCTAAACCTTTCACTGTTTTTACTAGAAGGAACAAAGTGTAGTTAAAATATTATAATAATGTGTTATGTTAGTGGTAGGCATATAAGGGTAGTTTATGATCTTTGGGGCAGTTTGCGACAGTTACTATATTGTAATAAGAGGATAAATTACTCCTCAGTTAGAGAACAGGATAGTTAATATTTATGTAAAGGAAGTTAGTGACGGAGTGTGCTCCTTGGAGAGGTTTGATCTCTTGTATGTATTGAATGCGATTAATTTCTGTTGAATGTAAGATTGTGTTGCAGAATTTATTTTTTATTTTCCATTGATTGAAGTTGAGGTAAGTGAGAACACAACATTGGAACCAAATCGAAATGGATTCCCTTGAATCAAGAATAGAAACCCCGGAGAATTCCATTGAGTCTCTAAGATGAGTAACCAACGAGAATAATTCCCTTGTACATATCGCCCTCCCAAAATTGCTTCCTCTTACTTAATGAGTTAATATCACTTGTCACAAATTGATATGCTTGTGTCTCTTATTAAAAGTGCATTCGCAAATCTTGCTTCAAACAGCCAACCTTGCTTCTCCATTTGACATGGCCGTCAAAAGTTTGTTTTGATATTGTAATGACATGAATAGTCTTTTGTATAATTTCAAAATATCCAATCACCTTATTTAAACTACAACAGTTATCAATCACTTCAATTGGCGAGTGTATACTAAGACTCAATTTGGTATAAGGGTAGTAAAAAATGGGGCTGAAATATTCATGGATGAGCTTTCGCTTCAATTTTACAAACAAAACTGATCCATGAATTTTTTTCATCACATTTTAACCCCATACCAAAACACAGGTAATTTTTCCTTACAATGCCTAAACAAGAGCAAATTATACTCAGTGACATCCCCAAAAAGAAAACAGATTACTCCAACATCAAAAGTGATTCTTTCACCAAAAAAAAAACTTACAACTTACAACGATCCAAATGGAAATGATGTTCTCATTTAACATAATCATGTCATATAAAGGACCTTAATTATCAATGAACAAATCAACCGTAATAATTTTGTAACTTCTTATCTCAATATTTTTTTCTCTCTTATCCTTTATATGGTTAGAATTCTTCCACATTATATGGTGACTTTAATAACACATGAGAGACAAACACACATAGCATTAGACACCACCCAACAGCCAATACTTTAATCCTAACCCAACAAAGAGCAAATGAGGATGTAAAAACATTCTATCCATGGTCCTCAAGCACATTGAGCAGGTACACAGTTTCAAATTCAATAAGTGAAATACAAATTGAAAGCAAAATGTAGAAAATATATATTCACCTTTTCCAGCCTCCAGTGACAAAACCACCATCACCATCTTTGTGGAGCATCATATCCAAAATGGGTCTATCCCTTGACATAGAATCTTTATCAACCATCATCCCTATGTTAGTCTTAAATCCACGATTATGAAAGTAAGCAATGCAGGGAACTTTAAGCAAACCCCTCCCAATGCATTTGCGTTGGGTAAAGGTTCTAGCTTGAACAACCATAGACCTCACACAACCACCACACACCATCTAACCCCACTAACCTAGTAATCCAACGCCAGATCTCACTTTTATTATTTCTCTGAAGAGAGAAATTATAATTTTTTTAAAAAAAAAAATATAAGTATCAATTAAAATATACAATTTAAAGAAATTATGTGATAATTTTTATAATTAAAAAAAAAATATTTTATTCATAAACTGATCTTTTTAGAAAGGTTTGAAAATCTAATTATGTTTTTGAAAAAGATAGAATTTGATATGTCCAGCATAAGATGACAGCGCTGAAGTTTGTTTGTGAAAATGTATGACGTTAACAATATTTATGTAACCCTCAAATTAAATAAGTAAATACATAAAGAAGAAAAGAAATTAAATTACAAGAAGTAAGGGCAACTAGTTAGTAATAATAATGTGGTTTTAAGAGTGAACAATTCTATGCAATAAGCACTTGCAATAACTTCATTTTAGTGTTGCATCCTGTCCCATGGTGCTTTTTAGTGCTTCACTTGCAATAACTCTCTTGAGATATATAAAATCATTAATGTAACTTCACCCAACAACTTAAGTCTTTGGGTTGAATTGGTTCTTTACATGGTATCAGAGCCTCGCTGCCCTCCACTTTCTCTTGTGGCGTTTCTTAGCACAGGTAGGCTGTACCTGTTGCATTGTCCACTCTTCAAGCCCAATGGGCTCTTGTGTGAGGGGGCGTGTTTAGATATATAGTCCCACATTGGTTGTATGTACAACAAATGTGGAGTTTATAAGACATTGGGCACTTTCATCCTTTGAGCTAATTTTTAGAGTGGTGTATCCCAAGATTCTTTACATGGTATCAGAGTCTGGTTGTACCGGGTTCGATCCTCACCGCCTCCCACTTTCTTTCTAGTGGAATTTCTTTCTTCGCACAGGTAGGTGGGCATGTGCATTGTCCACCCTGCAAGCCCAGTGGGCTCTCGTGTGAGGGGGCGTGTTGAGATATATAAAATCATTAATGTAACCTCACCCAACAGCTTAAGCCTTTGGGTTGAATTGGTTCTTTACAAAGTCATTCGATGATTTGCCACATGCAATTTTTTTTTTTTTAAACAATATAGTTACTCGCATTATCTTTCACTTGTTTATGTTTCTTGGGTGGCATATTTCCTATCCTCAAATATGCAGTTTTGTGGCTTACTTTTGAATGCGCGAACCATAGAGATCTCTTCGTGAATAACCCAAATGTTACAACAAATTTATTTAAAATTTCATTCAAATGGTAAATCCTACGGAGCAAGACCATCCAGTCTCTTTTTTTCTTTTCTTTTTTAATCTTGGTAAAATTCATATTCAATCGAGTAATTAGAAACCAAACACTAGTATTATGGTAGTGACTAAGCACATTTAAATAATTATAGGATCTATTAATCTCATGTTACATGAGATAATTATCTCATGCAACAAAGATAAGATTGTGAGGTCCACTACTTTTTCAAAAAACAAAAAAGAAAAAAGTAGTGGACTTTTCTATTTTGTCTTTGTTGCATGAGATAATTATCTCATGCAATATGAGATAATTATTTCCCATAATTATAATACCAGAAAATGAAATATAAACAGAGCTAGAAGTGTATGGTAATGTTGAAAACTATCATGAATCATGAGGGTTGTAGCTTCCAAGAACTAAATGTCATGAATCTATCCCAAAAAATAAGCTGATATAGTGAAGTTGCATGAATAATTTTATACTTGTATATATAATATCTACATTAAGAACCTCATAACTTCGTATGAAATACTAGTATCTATCTACACGAGGCAAGCACCGCCTATTCATTTTTTTTACGACATGACATGAGATCCAATGCTAACGTGTTTGTCTCAACACCAAAAGGGGTCACCGATAGCAGTTTACATGTAGTTTCCCAAAGCTCACGTGCTAATTTAGCGTCTCTTGAAAGTGCGGAAGAGTTGATAGTCCTACCTTTTCCCCCAAAAAAGTAAGCTCCTGATGTTCCCTGCAATCAAAGTTGAGCTTATCAAATGCACCACGAGAAACATTGTTATATATATATGCAAGTATACATACAAGGAAAACATTTCTAGTTGCATTTGATAATGAAATAACATATCCATTTAACATAATGAACTCAATGGCTCCAGTCAAGCCTAAAAATTAGAGCAGGCATGAGAGATCAGTATAAGCATCTGCATAAAGAATGCTATCAACTTCACAAGAAATAGCAACGGTTAAAGATATTTAATTACTCAGAAGTTAAGGAAGATTATTGGTATAAGCCCTACTATATTATTTTCAATGTAGTCCATAAGATTATTTTGAATAAATGTGATGTTGATATAGTCCATAAGATAAATGACTGAAACAAAAGGATGCGAAAGGGTATATCCAGCAATTGGAAGTCAGCTGAATATAAGAAGTGGGAACTATCGTTATAAGACAATGATTTTTATATACCTTTTTTAAGTAGACAACGATTCCTTAAGTGAACATGAGGAAATTTAGATGGTTTGGTCATGTACAATACAATGAAAATCATAAACTAATTGGCAGCTGCTAGAAAAATTACGGGAAATTTGGAAACACTAAAGTAGGACCAAAAATGATATAGACAGCAAATAAAAGTAACCTGATACACAGGACAAAATGACTAATAAGAAATCATTTTATGTTCAAACTATGAACAAAATCTGTACCCAAAAAATTATGTATTAATTTTTATAATATTTTCAATTTTTTTTTGTTTTGTATTTCATATTTTAGTGTCTTAGTCATACAGAAGAATATATTTTTAAAGTGAGTAACGCAAGAGGAAAAAAAGTCATATCTTTTTGTGAGCATACATATAAATTTATGAGAAATTTTATTCCATAAGAGAGTATTTCAGAGCTACTTTGGATAATAATTGAGAAAAACCTATGATAGTTGTACGTGTTAATTTTGTGTGTGATTGAGTGTGTATTAGATTACGATCCTCAAAGTATGTACAACTTGAACTTGTTGAATTAATTGACCAATATATTGTTTCATAGGATAAGTTCAAGATAAATTACCATCACAGAAGGATAAAAGGCATAAAGGCATTAGATATTGCATCAGGTAAAAACTTATATTACAAGGCATAAATACAGGTCATGGAACAATATGTATTTGAGTTGGTGGATGGAACACCTCTGATCAATTAGAAACATCAATGACATGTAGTAAAAATGTAAAATCAATATTAGGACAGTACCACTAAAAGAGTACTTACTGGTGGAGCAAGGGCAGCATCAATAATGGAGTTAATCCCACACTCAGGGGGTTGCAATAGGTGCAGACGTTTCAGTACAGAGAATGCCAAACAAGATAGGCTTACTGGTATTTCTCGCATGATGTTTGTCTGTACAATTCCAGGATCCGCAACACTAACGTATAACAATTCAGAAAATGAATGTTAAAAATGACGTAGAATCCATTATTGACAAGAATAAAACTAACACAAAATTTCATACATTTTGCATCTCTCTTTTTCTTGGGAATTTTCATTTCTCTGTCTCATTTTTATTCATTCATTCTCTTTGGCCCAAAACATTGGATCCTCTAACCTAGCAACCCAAACCCACTACTATAAAGCCATCGGTGGCACTACTTTGACAATACAAGCTCAAAACTGACCAGAAGTGCACAAGTGGACTTACATGAGCATAGCCGGTCCCACTTAAACTTTTTTTGTCAAACTAATTCGCTGATTATGCAGTTGTAGCTAGTTGAGAGCAGAGGCGCTAGACACTATAGAACTATGGCTTGGATGGGGGATTTCTAACTAAATATTTTTTTTTTCTTAAAAAAAAATGTAGGGTGTTTGGAAACTTGGGGAGGGAGGGGACAGGGGGGCTGAAGCCTCCCTTGAGGAGCACTACGCTCTGGAACCAAAGATTTGAGAAAGAAAAATAAGTATATCCTCAACAAGACAGAGGCTTAAAATAGATCTCAGCCTTTGATTGTTAAGTTAAAAACCAGAAGAGAATTACAGGTTTGTCAAACATAGATGCATGATTTTCATGCATGGTATGAGATAATCAGACAAGAGACGGTCCATATAGTTTAGCCAAAAACAAGAACCTATGGATTGTGCAGAAAAGATGCATATGAAACCAAAACTAGTAATTTAATTCATGAAGAGCAACCAAACGAATATATTAAAACAACATAGTTGACAGTAATGCATTAATTAGTTAAAGTATACAAAAAAAAATTCAATCTATATAACAATACACAGCACTTGGAAACAAGACAGCAAAAGGAAATAAAAGGAAGTAGATTAGTAATTACATACTTGACAAATATCTGATGAGATTTATTGATTAGGCAAAGCTGTCGGTGAAGCTCATATGAGAAGAGAAGTAGGTATACTTCAACAAAATTATATGTTAGTTAGGAATTAGGTCAAAACATAAGGTAATCTGAATAAATATATCCAGAATTTTCACCTTACATTTAGTATACTCATACATCTGAGCATATGGATATTGTCTTGAACTCAAAAACCTCTTCCCAGATACAGTTCCCTCATCAACCTGCACATCAGTAACTAAAGAAAAAGGTTTGAGCAGGTTCTATATGAGAAGTGTTGTTGTACAGACAATGTGATGAAGAATTAATGTAAGAGAGTCAAACTCAGAGAGTTGGATCACCAGACAATAAAATAAACCAATAAGTAATGATTATCCCTACCAGCTCGATGAGTAAAGGATGCTACATTCACAATTCTGGAAGATACAGGACTGCTTTCAAGAAGTGGTAACAGAAGATTGGTTAAAACGAATGCGCCAATGTAATTTGTACCGATCATCCTGGGAGAACGAGTGTTAGACATTTGTGGATTTTAAAAGTTACAACTACTTGTAAAACTAGGATACCCGACAAACATGGAACAGACAAGTATAAAACAGATAAATACTCTGTATGAAAAACTCCACTAAAAAATAAATCCATTTTGCATACAAACGCTTCCACCATTCCATGTGCCTTTCTTGGGTTTCAGTTCCACAAAGTTCATGTTGAACATGCAAATCAATATTGTCTCCAAAACTTTGACATTTAACAAATACTTACAACCATACCCCTTAGCTTAAACAATTTATTAACAGTCTATGAGTAATATACTAATATAATTTGCAAACATGTGGCCTATGCATCTCTTGCTGTGTTATGCAGATCATGCATAAGCACAGAAGTTATTTAATGATAAAGCTAAAATTGTTTAATACTACAAGGGGAGGTTAAAAAAAGTATCTATTACTGATCATAGCCCTCAGCTGTGACTCTAGGTGATGTTGCAAGTATTCCAGCATTGTTTATCAGTACTTGTACCGAGCAGTGCAAATCAGAATCCAAAAGCCACTGCCGCAAGGACTCTCTGAACTTCATGATTGACTCAATTGATGACAGGTCAACCTGAAAATCTTTGAGGTGGGCATCTTCATTCCAAGCTTTGATCTTTTTTATGGTCTATCAAACAATGGGAACACAGATAAGAGATTAACCAAATGCGGAGTCATGATTGCCATGATGTTAATAATTAATGTAGAAAAATACCTCCAACAATAACTCCCGCGATCGTCCAACTGCAAACACAACAGGAATCTTAAGTATACATTGCATAAGCTAGAAATATAAGCTACAAACCAACAACTACGAGTTTAAGTGGTAAAAAAACCCGTTCCCCTTAATCAGTTATCTCGAATTTGAGTCCTCGGAATAGAGAAAATGATTGTTAACACAACCGCTCCTATATGGGTGACAATGCTCGAACCGAATTAGTTGGATGCCCCATTAACTCGTTGGAAACCAAAAAAAGAAATTTGAGCTACTAGGTTAGCCACATGGCCAACTACTTTTAGCATAGCATGATTAGCAGAGCAAAGAAATACTAGTATCCACAGTCAAACAACATAAAAAATAACCAGTTACCAATCACAACAACATATCCTTCCTTTGAAAGTTCATAAGCAGTAGCTAATCCCAGGCCAGATGTTGCCTACAACAACAAAAAAGAACCCAAACCACAGAATGAAATCCCCATAATCAAACAGCAAAGACTATATGTTTCTAAACAAAATAGCATTAGAAAAAACCTTACACCAGTTATTACGCAAACAGGCCTAAGAGTAGATGTGGAAGGGGAACACCTAGGATATGATATGAGTTTCTGAGAAAAGATGGAAGCTTTAAGCAATTGGTAATGAGAGAATAGAATAGAGAACGTCCACAGCAACGCCATTCTCCAGAATTGTAACGAGCAAACGAAATGGAGAACCCCCCACAACTCCTTTATCAACGTAACAATTGCCATTGTTGTAATTCTTAGGAAAAGAGTGCGTTTTTAAGCTTCACTAGTTAGCAGTTAAGAGAGAGATAAGAGAAAATGGATACTTTCCTTCCAAAGAGTCTTAAGGGGGAGACAGAAGGGTTTGTTTCATCTTTGCTCGTGTTGAGTTACATCCATGATTTCAGATTCCATGCCCTGCTTTCGCGTTTCAGTTGCGTCGCTCCCAAATCATTGAAATTGTCAAACGTTCCCTGTTTTGAAGAATGGGATTGTTATATGAGAATAATGTTTCTCATGATAAATTTTAACTACCAAACATACATAGAAAAAAAAAAAGTGAATGACTTGGGTGATTGTGAAGTGAAAAGAGATACAAAGAAAATCACGGAAATATTTTTTATGATATATGATTGGTGTTACCTCTTACCAATATATTGTTTTTTCTTTTTTATTTCTATTTTTTTTTTTAATTTTATTCTCTTGTTTATACTAAGAGACCGCCTATAAAATAGTGATTCAGGATCATGATAAATTCTCTCGAAAATCACACACATTTTTATATATGTAAGTCGGGGTGTAAATGGCCAACCCGCTTTGTTAGGGTTACAAACTTCTCTTGCTTTCAGTTTGGCTCGTTTAATAAATTCAACAAGTGAAGTTTTAAAAAAAATTGTTAAGCCAAACTAGGCTTGACTTCAAAATCCGTGGGCTCATATGATACATTATTTTAATAAATAATATATAATGGAATTAATATTTATCTTTTTAAAAGATATAAAATTATTTCATTTTAGTCAAATTATAGTGTTTTATACTAAGAGATAGAGATGCACAATGAAAATCAAGGTGGAAAAAGGTGAGATGTTTTTTTCAATTTAAATATAAATATAAATAAAAAATACTCATTTTAACTAAAATGGTCGTCTTTTAAAAGGATAAATATTTTTTCTATAAATAATACATTTTTATTTAACTAATTCATTAATCTTACTTTTTAATCCTATTTTTTTTTTACTATTATTTACTGGCATTAGAATTTACAGGTTAATGGGTCAAGCCAAGCTTAAAATATTTTTCATAGGCTTGGCTCGTTTAATGTAAAGCTTGGCTGGTCCGGCTCATTTACACCTCTATATGTGTGTAATGTTTCTTATATTATATAGGAAACAATTTTATTTACCATATACACTTAAAAATATGTAGGGCCCATATGAAATCATGTGAGAAAGAGAAAGAAAAAATATGGATTTCATATATTTGTATGTATATATAAGAGATAAAAACATGTGTTTAATCCTTCCCAATACTATTTTTAAGAAGGGTTTAAAGCCTTAATCATAGACTCGCACCAAACAAAATTGCCTCCGGTAGAGGATACCTATAGTTTATTCAAAAAAAATTATTTCTTATAATATTAGATAGATTAAACCCTATTTTTTGTGTTTTGAACGAGCTGATTTGACAAACTATCATTTGGGCAAATCATAATCCTTGCAAATCTAGCAAGGAGAAGGAAGAAGACATACACAAGGCAACTCCAAAGTAAATTTTTTAAGTGAATAATGTTTATTAGGTTATAGGAAATAAATTTAATTTTCTATATATACGTAAAAGTATGTGGGGTTTTGATACAAACCCAGCAACTTCACTAGCACCTCGTACACGAAAGACACCTTCCTATTTGTCTGATTATGTGCATGACGTGGGCAGCAACAATGGCTAGAGAAATGGTCTTCAATTTGTCCCACGTTGTCAGCATTAACTTCCCATTTCCTGTTTTATTTTATATTAAATTCTATGTATGAGTTACCTTGTAACCACGTACTATTCCCTGCAGTTACAACTGCTCTTCGTAAATGTTATTTAAGTTGGATAATTTGAATAGAAAGATGTCAGATTACCTCTTGCATTATTTTATTTTTCGTTCTATAAGCTTAACCTTTTTGCTGAAAAGGATCCCATCATTTTGGTGCTTTCATTGAGCATGTTCCCCTCCAATGGCAGAAGGAACACGGTTCCGAAAGCTAGAAGAAACACAAGAAAATCATGCTACCCAAATCCAAAGATTGTTTGAAAACTCTACCCAAGCCATATCCCAAATTACTCAGCTTCGTGAATCCTCCTCCAAAACATCCACACAGATTTCTGCACTAACATAACAATCTAATCAAACAGTGAACCGCCTCAACGAAGTCCAAACCACCCTTACAACCTTAACAGGCCGCATTGATCAACTATTGAGTCTCAACAATACTGCCAATACCACAACTCCACACTTTTCCCCTGTTCTCTAACCTTGTCCTTTTAAGCTTGATTTCCCACGATTCAATGGCACTAATCCCTCTGGCTGGCTCTTTAAAGCCACACAATTTTTTGATTTTCACAATACCCCACCTCCACAACGCCTTCAAATTGCATCCTTCCATATGGATGGTCCTGCACTAGCATGGTTCCAATGGATGCACTCTCATTCTCCTTTTCTTGACTGGCCAGCTTTCACAACAGCCTTGGAAACCCGTTTTGGAGACTCACCATACACTGACCACATGGGCTCCTTAGCCAAACTCCAACAAACATCCTCTGTTGCTGCTTATATAACAGCGTATGAGTCTTTAGCCAATCACACCTCTAACCTACCAACTGATTTCCTCCTTCATAATTTTATTTCCGGTCTCAAGCCAACCATACGTAGAGAAGTCCAGTCCTTACAACCCACCACTATTTTCCAAGCACAAGGCCTTGCACGGCTCCAAGAGGAGAAACTAGCAGACAGCCCCCACAAGCATACCAACACCTCTTTGCATTCCAAAATACTACCTGCACCCAATAGATCAACCCACACACACACCCCTTCAATGACCACACCCTCTTTACCACCAGGTGTCAGACGTCTTACGCCAGAGGAAATGAAAAGTCGCAGAGAGCAAGGACTTTGCTTTAACTGTGACGAACAATTCTCTCGCGGTCACAAATGTAAAACACCTTCCAAACTTCTCCTTCTTGAAGATATCCCTGACATACCTATCGACCTCATCGACCCTACACCCACAATTTCTACAGATATACCTGATATCTCCCTTCATGCATTTGCTGGACAGGACTCCCCACGCACACTTCGCCTCCAAGGTTCCATCAACGGCACCAGTGTTCAAGTGTTAGTGGATGGCGGCTCCACCCATAATTTCATTCAAGAGCGCATTGCCCATCATCTTCACCTACCTATTCAAACCACCAACTCATTCCATGTAACTGTTGGCAATGGTGATACACTCCAGTGCTCAGGAATATGTGTTTCTATCCCTGTCCACCTTGCTAACCACATTTTCCCCATTGACTTGTTTGTCCTACCGGTACATGGTGCCGATATTGTCTTGGGAGCACAATGGTTACGACAATTGAGTCCTGTCACCTTTGACTACCGCCTCCTCACCTTGTCATTTACCATCAACACAGAACCAGTGACACTGCATGGCTTCATTCCCCCTACTTCCACTCCCATCAACTCCTCCACTATCAAACGACAATTGGCCACCTCCTCCATTGCCACCCTTTATCACCTTCAGATCACCCCCAGTATCTCTAGCTCTCTTACAATCCCACAAGACATTGACCCAATCCTACAACAATACCAACATCTTCTTGAACCACCTCATGGCCTTCCTCCTTCCCGAACCCAAGACCACCGCATTCTCTTACCACCCGAAGCCAAACCTGTCAATGTTAAACCATACCGCTACCCTTACTTCCAAAAGCAAGAAATTGAGCGGCAAGTTCACACTATGCTTCAAGATGGCCTCATCCAACCGAGCCTCAGCCCTTTTAGCTCCCCTGTCCTTCTTGTGCGCAAGAAAGATGGCACTTGGCGCTTTTGCGTAGACTTTCGCGCATTGAACGCAATTACAATTCGCGACCGCTTCCCTATCCCCACCATTGATGAACTTTTTGATGAACTTCGGGGCTCTCAATTCTTCACCAAACTTGACCTGCGGTTCGATTTTCACCAAATACGGATGCACCCAGATTCCATCCTAGCCACTGCCTTTTGTACTCACGAAGGCCACTACGAGTTCAAGGTTATCCCATTTGGCCTGTGTAACGCGCCTTCTACATTTCAAGCCACCATGAACTCCATTTTTGCTCCATATTTGCGTCATTTTGTACTCGTCTTTTTTGACGACATCTTGATTTATAGCTTTGATTGGGAGACACATTTAGCTCACTTACGGGCTGTTTTCTCAACTTTGGACCAAAATAAATTACACATCAAGGTCACTAAATGCTCATTCGGCCAACACACCATCCATTACCTTGGTCACATCATCTCTGTCAATGGTGTTGCTGTCGATCCTTCCAAGATTGAAGCAATCGTGGATTGGCATATACCTCACACCATCACTGACCTTCGCGCTTTCTTGGGCTTGGCTGGATACTACCGGCGCTTCATTAAGAATTATGCTTCTTTGGCTTCCCCTCTCACCTCCTTACTGTGCAAGAATTCTTTTCACTGGACAGAGGCTCAATATGATGCATTCTGCAAACTCAAGAAGACTTTATCCTCCGCCCCGGTGCTGCAACTACCAGATTTCTCAGCCCAATTCTGCATTGAAACTGATGCCTCCGGTGAAGCTATGGGTGCTTTCCTAACCCAGCACGACCTTCCTCTAATTTACTACAGCAAGCTGTTCTAACCACGCGTTCGTTCTGCTTCAACCTATGTTCGATAACTTTTTGCCATCACTGAGGCAGTGCACAAGTGGCGTCACTATCTCTTAGGACGTGAATTCCTGATTAGGACAGACCATTCCAGCCTTCAACACCTCCTCAGTCAGACCATTCACACACCTGAACAGGAAAAATGGCTTTACAAGCTCATGGGATTTCAGTATAAGATCATCTATAGACCCGGCAAACAGAATATAGCCGCTGATGGATTGTCCCGCAGCTTTGGCAACACTGGTCCCAACACCCTTCTTGGTCTTTCCATCCTGGTCCCTGCCATTGCTACACGCATTCAGCAACTTCTTGAATCAGATGACAAGTCCTTGGAAATCATTGTTGCACTGCGTAAAAACCCCACTTCCTTTCCTCATTTTCATTATTCTAATGGTCTTTTGTTTTATAAAAACAGACTTTACATCCCAGCCAATTCTAGTCTTTGCAAAGATATGTTCGATGAACTTCATTGCACCCATGTTGGTGGGCATTCCGGCTTCTATCGAACACTTAAGCGCATGACCCAGAACTTTTACTGGCCAAATATGAAAGTTGATATCAAACGATGGGTTCGTCATTGCATTATCTGCCAGCAAACTAAGTACACCACTTCTTCACCTCAAGGACTACTCCAACCCCTCCCCATTCCCAATCGTGTTTGGGAAGACATTACCATGGACTTTATTGTGGGTCTCCCACCATCCCAAGGCAAGACATCGATTATGGTTGTGGTCGACAGCCTTTCCAAATATGCCCACTTTGTCCCATTTCCTACAAGCTTCACAGCTCAATATGCAGCCACTGCCTACATTCAACATGTTGCTAAGTTACATGGCATTCCTCGAAGTATTATCACAGACCGCGGCTCCTTATTCCTCAGTTCATTCTGGCAAGAACTTTTCAAGCAACAGGGCACTAAACTCCTTATGAGCACTGCCTATCACCCTCAACCCGACGGTCAATCTGAGGTCGTGAATCGCTGCTTAGAACAATATCTCAGATGCCTTACCATGGACAATCCCTCCACTTGGTCAAAATTAATCCATTGGGCCGAATATTGGTATAATACAACTTTCCACTCTTCTGCTAAAATGAGTCCATTTGAAGCACTTTATGGACGCCTTCCACCAACAATATCAGACTACATTTCAGGAGGCACTCAAAATCCGGAGGTGGATCACTTGCTCCGTCAGCGTGATATACTACTGCGTACCCTCAAAAACAACTTGCAACGTGCTCAACAACGTATGAAATCCTTTGCTGACAGCAAACGCACAGATCGTCAATATGATGTTGGCAGTTGGGACCTTGTTAAACTACATTCTTATCGACAACAATCTGTTGCCCAACGCAGGACATATAAACTTTCCAGGCGGTACTATGGTCCATTCCAAATTATTGCTAAAATTGGTCATGTTGCTTATAAGTTGTCCCTCCCCTCTACTTCTCGTATACATCCCATTTTCCATGTTTCCTTACTCAAAGCATTTCATGGTGACAACACTGCAACAACCAACCTGGCACTTCCTGATGATGACATTGAAAACCTTGGGGACAAGGTTCATCTTGATGAAGGGGGGATGATACAAACCCAGCAACTTCACTGGCACCTCGTACACGAAAGACACCTTCCTACTTGTCTGATTATGTGCATGACGTGGGCAGCAACAATGGCTAGAGAAATGGTCTTCAATTTGTCCCACGTTGTCAGCATTGACTTCCCATTTCCTGATTTATTTTATATTAAATTCTATGTATCAGTTACCTTGTAACCACGTACTATTCCCTGCAGTTACAACTGCTCTTCGTAAATGTTATTTAAGTTGGATAATTTGAATAGAAAGACGTCAGATTTACCTCCTGCATTATTTTATTTTCCTTTTTATAAGCTTAACCTTTTTGCTGAAAAGGATCCCATCAGGTTTATGTGAATTCATGTGAGGAGAAAAGAGATAAAGAGAAAATATGAATTCCATGTACTTTGATATATATGTAAAAAATAAATTTATCTCCTGTAATATAAGAAACAATAAATTAATTTTCTAAAAGCATAAAATAGCTAAATTTTCAATGAAAAAGTTGGACTTTTTATGTTGGGGGGACTAAAAGAAAATGCACAGTAGTTAAGTGATCTTAAATTTTCCTGCGAAGATATTTGAGGGAAGGTTATATTTATAAAAATTTTGTTTATAAATTTTTATAAATTATACTATGTCTGACTGATAAGACATTCTTGAATAGAGTCTGATCGATAGTCAGATATAATGTAGTTTGTAAAAAAAAAATTTGTCAATATAATCCTACTCTATTTGAATTTATTTATTTTTTTGGTAAGCTATTTGAATTATCCTTTAAATCTTGCTAATCAGTCCGTTTCAGAATCATTTAACATTATTTATTAAGTGCTTAATGTTTATTCGCTTATTAAAAATAAAGAATATCTTTTGTGACACGACAAACATATTATTTTAATTCTGAATTATGATTGTCAACGTATAGTCCTCAACAGTAAAACATATTATTTTCCTAACCAAAAATAAAAATATAATTTAATAAATATAAAGTATTGCCATTTTTAAAAACTCCAGATTTTACCTATCGGTCGTGAAAATGAGATACAGATCAAAAGGCCATTTTGTCAAATGTTAATGGGACATAAAGCTACGGTCTAAAACTGTATTTTCTTTCCAGAGAAAGAATGAAAAGGGTAAGAGATTTTAGACTTAAGACCATTTTGGATTATTTTTTTCTATTATTTTAATGTTAAAATTACAAAAGATTAAAAATATTATTTTTTAAGTCAATTTTTATTTTAAAAAAATTAAATTCATTTAAAAAATACTATTTACATAGTGCATCAAATGCAAAATAACTAAGGTTTTTGAAAAAATTCGTTCTATAAAAACAATGTATAAAAACTCTTTGCAAGTCTTTTTCTTATTTTATAGAATTACTATTTTATAAAATTAACCCCTAGCCTACTGCATGTTATGTATTATTGATATATTAATATTTGTGTTATGTATTGAATTATTGAGTAAATATTTGACTTTTATGCTCCCTTCTTGTGATACTGGCAGCTCGACTGTTATTTTACTTATTCGTGAGCAGAACTTCCGAATAGTCTATGCAAGGTTGAAAAAGTTAGATACTCCCAAAAAGAAGGGTTGAAATTTCCTTCACACAATTTAAACTAAACTATTTAAACGTCATATGAGTAAAAAAAAGTCTAACTTGCTTGAAGTTTAAGCATCATCGTAGAAAGATCAAACTATGATTGTCAACGTAATGAACAATAACAAAAACAAGAATAAAATACGAAGATTTAGATACAAACAAAACAATTATATAAAACTTCCTCTCAAAATCCCTTAATTTGTATCTAATTCAAATCTAAAATGTTCTATTATTTGTTTTTTCCACGACTAGCTATTACAAATGATGGTATGATGGTATGTGTATAAATAATGCTTTATGAAGTCAATAGCACTGACCTGGTAATAACAAACTTGAAGAGTTTGAATATACAAATTCATTTGAACTCAACATTTTAATCCAATTATTATCATTCTTTATCTTCGTTAAGTAGTATACTATTAAATGTAATATACAACTATTGTCTCATGAAATTTGAAATAAATCTGAACTTAAATGATTTAAAGATGAAATTCTCAATCCTCAAAATACCGAAGAAACTAGTAATTTAATATATATTTTTTATTTTTCAATTAAAGTATATCTGCAAATATTATTATAATTAATTTTTTCTTCTAATACATAATTGCACTATCCATATTTAAACTTCGATTCTCTCCCTAATAATGTGAATTGTGATATATATTATTTTGACATAATGTTATCAAAATTTAAACTAACATAATAAACCATGTTAGCAGCTTCTTACTTTGATTATTCAGGTTCAAATATTTTACTAGTATTTATAAGCTATTTGATCCTTTTACCCCTTATTAATTATTTAATAATTATTTTGTTTCTGATTGCAAACTATCTACCAATCTGCCCTTCTTTAATTGATTAAGTCAAAAATTTAATCGATTAAATGGCTAAAATAGGCAAAAATCGTTGACGTGAAGATTTAGTCGATTAAATATCCCTATTTAATCGATTAAATCTCCCATACATAAGGTTGTTCTTCTGATAAAGAGGAAGATTTAATCGATTAAGTTGAAAATTTAATCGATTAAGTTGAAGATTTAATCGATTAAAACTTCATTTGACCATTTAATCGATTAAATATTCAATTTAATCGATTAAAGAAGGGCAGATTGATAGATAGTTTATAATAAAGGATAAAATAGTTATTAAATAATTAATGAAAAGCAAAAGAGTAAAAAAGTTAATATTTATAAGCGCAGATGATTTCGGCTTCAAAACTAAAAAAAATTATCTGCTGTGGAGAGATAAAAGAAGTGGCCTTCATTCCTATTTTTTTCTCTCATTCCTCTGTATTTTCTCTCTCTATCAATTTGTCTGCAGTAAAGACAAATTTTTTAGCTTTTGAACCAAAAATCATATTTCCGTTTATAAAATTTAGTTTTATTAAATATTTCAATGGATGTAAGAAGTCATGTACCTTCAAAATTGTGGTGTGAGAACTTATCCATATCCACAATTATTTTCTACAATTAAAAATTAAAAATTTATTATAATTCTAAAAATTTTAACATTAAGGAAAAATTTCATAAAAAAACCTATAAATTTTTTTCTAAAATTACGTATCATCTTTTCAAAATTTTAAATTATTTACACCCTTATTTAATTTTTTTATTAATTTCATCCCTAATTTAAAGTTTTTTTTATCAATTACCCTCTTAATTTAGGAGATAAATGATAAAATAAATAAATTATAAATGTAAATAATTCAAAATTTCAAAAAGAAATAAATGATTCTGAAAAAATTTACAGAAAATTTTGAAGTTTTCAAATCAAAGCACAATAATCAAACCGGTTGAGGTAATTCTAAATTTTTTGTACTATGGCATATTTATTTTTTACATAACTCATCGAGTAGATAATTATATTTGATTTGCATAATATTAATCACTCTAAATAGTAAATTTTTGTTTATGATTGATATTTGCAAAGTTCTATATTAATACTGTAATTTTTTCTATCTGAAATATAGAACAAGATAACAACATGATTTTTTTTTGTAAGTATAAAAAAATTTGTAGTGCGACGACAGATCACAAAATTTTTGATCTTAGTTGATGGAATTAATTTGAACATGAATGAAACTCAAAGCGATTACCATAGTGGCACGGCAGGGGAGGGTCACGGTCTCGCTGGTTGACCAATGACATAACCACTAAAGACTAGTGAAGTGGGGCCCGCGACAGACAATCACAAGAGTTTTCTCCTTTTTATCGCCAAACACAAACTGACTGTTTCTCTTTCTCCATTGTTGTCTGTAATCGCCGAAATCACTTTCATACCCTTCTTTCCTCGAACCTTCTTCTCTCTTACAACTTCAAACTACTCAGACTCTTATCTTTCTTACTTGCCTTAGGGTACCCTTCACCTTTTCCTCTCTCTCTCTCTCTCTCTCTTCCAACGTTGTTCTATCTCTCGCTATGTAACTGCTCCGGTACCTTTTTCCTTCCTCTTTCTGTCTTTTTATTTTTCCTGAACTTGAACTTGGCTGCAAATTTACAATTTAATTATTAGGTTGTTCAATTTGTATAGTTCGGTTACGACTAGAGAAATTTTATAGGATTGGGGATTTGTTTTTTGCTTTTATGGAATTATTATTATAATCATTCATTATTATTATTATTTTAACATGGTACTTACTACACTAGCAAACACCAGTCCAAACCTATCGCTTGAAATTTCATTCGTGATTTATATTTAATATTACACTATTTTCAGTGATTCTTAAACACACTGTATTAAGCCATGTCATGACTCATGATGTGTACTTTGAGGGAAACTATATTTCTGGCTATTGCGTTGTTTTTATTGTGTTCTCGGTCATTAATTATTGAGAGGTTTTATTTCATTTGAGGAATTTGTGTTTCTTTATTAGTGTGACTCATGCTGGGACAATATATGGCAAGGTGCTTGGGTGGCTATTTTACCCTATTGATATTACTATGGACGATTTTGTGTTTTGGTTGACAAATTGAATATCTAATTGTGAATGTGTCTCTCATCTTATTATTCCAGGAGTAGGCAATGAGGAATTGATGTGCAGGAAGAAGCTATTCATTGTTATGTGAGATTTAAGAGACACGGATTCATCTTATTCTACTTTGTTTTTTGAACTAGGCTCCAATCATGACTTTTCAGCAAGAAAAATTTGTTAGGTTAGTTTAATGATGCTTGCGTACCTTTATTTACTCTATTTTAGAAGAATTTGATTTGTCATTGGAAGCAAGTCTTTCATGCTTGCCATTGGGGGTTCAAATTGTTACCCTTTTAATATCAGAAGTTTTATTCTCTAATTGGCACTTCTATTGTTCATCTGAAGGATAATCATGTACTGAGGTTTATATTATTTGTATGATGTCCAGGTTTCAGGATTGGAATTCAGACAAGGGTTCTGAGAGAAACTCTCCTGCAATTCACATAACAAGCTCGGGGAGAATTAGAACTACACTAAGCTCAGTTTCCAATAAGTTTCAAAGGGGATTGGAATCTACTTCCAAGGGGATAAATAGATTTAGAAAATCATTCAAATCTTTTCCCCGTGACAGTTTTCTTGCTAGAAATTTTAGTTCTAAAAAGAAAATCCTTGATCCGCAGGGCCCTTTCCTTCAAAAGTGGAACAAGATATTTGTATTATTGTGTCTTATTGCTGTATCACTAGATCCTTTGTTCTTCTATGTCCCCGTGATTGATGATGACAAGAAATGTCTTTCACTGGACAGAAAAATGGAAATTACGGCAACTGTTTTAAGATCTTTCTCTGATATCTTTTACATAATTCATATAATTTTCCAATTTCGTACTGGATTCATTGCTCCCTCTTCTCGGGTGTTTGGAAGAGGTGTTTTGGTTGAAGATGCTTGGGCAATAGCAACGAGGTATCTGTCATCATACTTCTTAATCGACATTCTTGCCGTTCTTCCCCTCCCACAGGTAAGGAAAACTTTGAAATTTTTTCTACTGTTGGACATTTTGACTTTCATCTTCTGTTTATTCCTTTAAGCTGCTAAATAACTGTGGGTTAATGGGTTTGGACTTAAATGTAATGCAACTTTTGTTTTCACATCACATGCTTTCTCTGTTTCTCTCTCTCTCTCTTGTAATTTGTCTCCTTTTCCTGTCATTAATACGGAATGATCACATCACTAAAGTCCAACATCAAAACATGTAGACACAGTCATAAACATATATTGTAACCAGAGGATAAGTTCAGCCTCCAAGTTTAATATCTTAGGAGTTTTGTGGGCTTAGATGAAAAAGTTCATTTCATTGGATTCATTTGACTAGTTTATTACTTTATTTTGACTCAAATTGCTTTTATAATTCTAGGCGGTGATTCTAATTATCATTCCAAAGATGAGAGGCTTTGAATCCCTGAATACGAAGAACTTGCTGAAATTTATTGTTTGCTTCCAGTATGTGCCACGTCTTTTAAGAATAATTCCATTATATAAAGAAGTTACAAGGACCTCTGGCATTCTCACCGAAACAGCTTGGGCTGGAGCTGCATTCAATCTCTTTCTTTACATGCTAGCAAGTCATGTAAGTTTATGCTGCAGTTTTTATTTTTCCTTCTTTTTCTTTTATATATTTGTTAAAAATTATTTTTTGTTATATTGCTCCTATGTAGTTTATTTTCCCATTTTATTTCTGAGTCCATCGGTCTTATTCTTTAAAAAAAAATTCCATATAATTTTAAGTGTTTCTGTTGGAATGTTTAATGGTTTTATTTTATGATTTTATCCGCTAGTAAATTTCATTTTGTCTATTAACTAGATATTTACCCTTGTGGTGACTCTGGACAAACATAACTGGCTTGTAATCCCAACATGTTTATATTATGCTAGTTGCATAACTGAGATGTAGATTATTACATGCAGATAATAGAATATTGAGTAAAACTAATCAAGGCAAGATGTCTCTGTGTCATGGATTTTATGACACTAACCTTTGTGTGAATTCTACAAAGCTATAAGAGGTTATTTGTTTTTGGGGTGAGGGCGGGACATGACTCTGTGTGTTTTAGTTGGATGCAGATTTGATACTTCAAACTTTTTCTTTCCACCTGATATAAAGCATGAGTGTGTATATGAATTAAAATATGACAGTTTAGATCTTTTAATTTCCTTGTCAATGGTCCAAGTTGATGTTTCGTAATCATGTATGATGAGCTTGAATAAATTCCCTTGCAACCCACTCTGCATGTCAGTTAGATATGTTTTGCAATTAGAAGGATGCTGAAGATCACTATGAAGCAGACAGTTAAAAATAAAAGGAGCCATGCCTTTGTTGGACATACATTAGACACTTGTGTTGGACACACACGTACGCATATCGGGCACTTGTGTCAGATGCTATGTAACACTGCAGATTTTCTGTGTTGCAATGTCTATGTTGTGCCTCTTGTGCATGCTTCGTACGTCTCTATGTATATTGCGTTTCAACTCTCATGTCCACATGATTTTATTTTGGTTCTCAGTGTTGCATGTTTAGATCTGCTAGATTATTGTTGCTTTTTTTAATGAAAATGATCTTATTATTGAAAATTCAAAATGATATCATCTGTACATCTTTCTGATTGCTGATTTCCTTGTCACTATTAGGTTATTGGTGCATTTTGGTACTTATTTTCTATAGAAAGAGAAACCACATGCTGGCAAGATGCATGTCGAAGAAATACCACATGTAACAAGGCAGATATGTATTGTGATAATCGTCAAGGTTTGGGCACAATTTCAACATTCCTGAATGCTTCTTGCCCAATACAGGATGCAAATAAAACGCTCTTTGATTTTGGAATATTCCTTGATGGCCTTCAATCTGGGGTCGTGGAATCAAAAGATTTTCCACAAAAGTTCTTTTATTGTTTTTGGTGGGGCCTAAGAAATCTGAGGTGTGCTTTGCTGATTCTTTTTTAGTATCTGCTATTAATTTAAAGATTATGAAATAATCAATATTATGTTGCAATGTGTTTATGATTTTGGTAGTACTCTATTAAGTTGATGTCAGCTATGAATGTTATACAAGCAACCTGTAGCTGTGTCTGGACTCCATATGTCAGTATGTTCATAGTGTAGAATTGTGCATTATAGTTTTTTGTTCGCTGACAGCCCAGGGTAAAAGTATTCTCCCTTTCAGTGTGTGTGCATACTCAACATGCGTGTTTGTCTAGGTGTTTTTATGTGTGAAATACAGGTGTGTTTGCAGAGTAGTTTGGACACAATGTTGATAAAATGGATGAACAATAAGTATGGTTGTCATGTCTGACTTTCTGTGTCTTTAATTTTCTTGTGATTCTAAATGGTGATAGTTTTCAATGGCAAAGATTATATAATCTGAACCGTGTAGATGATTGTAAAGAACCTTGGGTTACACCACCCCAAAAGCTAACTCAAAGGGTGGGAGTGCCCAAGGTCTTAATAAACTCCACATTAGTTGCACATACAATCAATGTGGGACTATATATCTCAACACGCCCCCTCACACGAGAGCTCATTGGGCTTGAGTGGACAATGCAACAGGCCCAGCCTACCTGTGCTAAAAAACGCCACAAGAGAAAGTGGGAGGCGGCGAGGCTCTGATACAATGTAAAGAACCTTGTGTTACACCATCCCAAAAGCTAGCTCAAAGGGTGAGAGTGCCCAAGGTCTTAATAAACTCCACATTAGTTGCACATACAATCAATGTGGGACTATATTATATATCTCAACAATGATAGATAGTCTGATTTAGTGCTGAGAAGTGGAAAATGGCTTTGGCTTCGGTCAATGACCTGTTTAATGCCTCAATGAAGAGGTGGGGGATTGGTAGAGGTGCCACTTAGTTATCAATTCTAAAGTTGCATACTGTTCATATCATATGTTAATCTGTTGTAAATTTTGATGTTGAGCATATTTTTACTGTATTATTATCTGACATTTTTTAAATATTCCTCCACCCTAATTGGGGGGAGCTGGATTCCTTCATTGCAGTTCTCTTGGTCAGAATCTGACAACAAGTACCTATGTTTGGGAAATCAGCTTTGCAATTTTCATTTCCATAGCTGGTTTGGTTTTATTTGCATTCCTAATTGGAAATATGCAGGTTGGTCACAAATATCTCTATATTGTCTTTTAATCAGGCAATAATACTAGCAAGCGCTATTAGTTGATTTAAGATTAAGTTGGTTCTCACTGACCAGTACCGTATTTTCCTCCTGATATCTGTCTTGTGATAGTTTTTTGTTGTTTTTTTGGCTATAAATCTTTTTATAGATTTTCCACGTGAAGTACAGGTCGTTTTAGATTTTATAACCTATGGTAGTGAGAAAATATCTTTTTTTGGTGATTTTTAAGGGGGTGTTTGGTAGGAGGATTATTTTTAGATGCCTGGGAAAGTGAGGGTGAGTTTTCTAGAATCCCATGTTTGGCAGCACATTGGAGAATTTTTTTTTGAGATTTCTTTTTGTGTGTATTTTCTAAACCAAAATACCATCCAGAGGATGGTATTTCAGGAATCCCAGACGATGGGAAAATATGGATTAATTTTTCAGATAAAAATAACCAAACATAGTATCAAGAAAATTAACCCAACATTCTGGAGAATATTTTGGCCTACCAAACAACTTTTTAGTAACATTTCCAAAAAAACTCACTTTTCCATCGTATTCTCGAGAATCGTGATTCCCGGATAAAAAAAAAAAAATTTCTCCTCTACCAAACGCTCTCTAAGGAAATTCTTGCATTGCATTTGTAATTTCCATTTTCAAGTGTTGTTAATTGCGGGCATTGCCTGAAATAGAGTGAACCATGTAAATTCTGATTTATTAAGTTATTATCCATAGGCAGGCCATGCAAACATATGTTTCTAATGCTCTTCTGCTTCCATAACATTATCTGACTATTTTTCTTATCATATTTTAAATACACCTTAAAGTCTTGGTCCTCATACTTTTATCTTCACAGTTCTGCTTGGAAAATAGTTGGACACCGGTGCCATTCTGTTGTAAGGTTATTTTCTTCTATGATTTGATCCATTATACCTTCCCCCCTGCCCCCTCTTAAACAGACATATTTGCAATCAACAACTACTAGATTGGAGGAGATGAGAGTGAAAAGGAGAGATGCAGAGCAGTGGATGTCTCATCGATTACTCCCTGACAGCCTGAGAGAAAGAATCAGACGACATGAACAATACAAATGGCAAGAAACCAGAGGTGTTGATGAAGACAATTTGATTCGCAATCTTCCCAAGGATTTAAGAAGGGATATTAAACGTCATCTTTGCTTGGCTTTGTTGATGAGGGTAAGTTTCTCCATATCTCCTTCTTTCTTTTTTGTGTACTAGAGTTCTTTTAATTTGACTATGATCTTTATTTCTTTTTAATTTCATTCTGGGAAATTTTTGAGCCATCCATTATTCTGTGAGGAAGTGGTTGTGAATTTCTATTTTGAACATCTCTTTCTCATGCCTAGCAAGTTACTGAAAATGAAAACGTACTTGTCCTATTTTAGCTTAAAAACCACTCCACGTTAAACTCCGACTAGCGAGGGTAAGGTGAGGGCAATTCTTGTACGTAGTCTTACCCTTGTATAATTACAAAAAGACTGTTTTTTGAATTCGAATCTGTTGCCTCTGAATCACAAAAGAACAACTTTACCACTATTCCAGGCTCACCCTCTTTTCTATTTTACCTTATCTATTTTATTTTTTTGTTTGGTGAGCATTTAATAGAATATCCATTGAGGATGATATGGTATGGTATACTGGTTTTACAAAATTCAAAAAACTTGTGGACTTCCAAATCTAGTAGGACACAGAATAAGTGAAAAACATTCAGGTGCTGTTGTGTATATCTATATGCAATTTTTTTCTTTGCTTTCCCAGGTCTTTTATTTTTAGCATGTGCTGTACACACATTAGAACTCTTCAAAGCAGTGTTGTGCATGTTTTCATTAGTAGTTTTGAAGTGTTTCTGTCTGCTATGGTAATTAGATCACGCTAAGAGACGATAAACGTAATCATGTTTACGTTGTTCTAAAACTAGTTTGTGCATGTGTTTCATGCTTCCTGGATTGTAATTCAGAACATTTAGGCATATCAAAAAGGGCAGTATGATGGATTTTAAGACAATCCTTGAAACGTAAACCAATTACCATTTCTATTGAAAGTTTTGAATCTATAGTTGATTTTCCATATAATATTAGTAATCACTATATATATATATATATATATCTATCTCTTGCATGAACTTAAAGGTGCCAATGTTTGAGAAAATGGATGAGCAACTTTTGGATGCAATGTGTGACCGTCTCAAGCCAGTGCTATACACAGAACAAAGCTGCATTGTGCGGGAAGGAGATCCTGTTGATGAGATGCTCTTCATAATGCGAGGCAAGTTATTGACTGTGACAACTAATGGTGGAAGAACAGGTTTCTTTAACTCTGAATTTCTCAAGGCTGGTGATTTTTGTGGAGAGGAGCTTCTTACATGGGCATTAGATCCTCATAACTCATCAAACCTTCCAATCTCAACTAGGACTGTCCAAACTCTTTCAGAAGTGGAAGCATTTGCTCTAAAAGCTGATGACTTGAAGTTTGTTGCATCTCAGTTTCGGCGCCTTCACAGTAAGCAGCTTCGCCATACTTTCAGGTTCTACTCACAACAATGGCGTACGTGGGCTGCATGTTTCATACAAGCAGCGTGGAGGCGATATGGTAAGAAGAAGCTTGAAGAGTCTCTGAGGGAAGAGGAGAATAGGCTGCAAGATGCATTGGCCAAGGCAGGTGGTAGTTCACCTAGTCTTGGTGCTACAATATATGCTTCAAGGTTTGCTGCTAATGCACTTAGAGCTTTACGTAGAAATGGCACAAGGAAGACAAGGGTGCCAGACAGAATATCACCTATACTGCTTCAGAAGCCTGCTGAACCTGATTTTACTTCTGAGGAGCAATAGGGTAATGAATGAAAATGAAAATGAAAATGAAAAATGAAAATGAAATTACCATTTTGGTAGAAAGGCCAAATTGTCATTTCATTTATATATTTTGTTTTTCAAATAAGTGTAAGATGTAAATGTCTATTAAATATTTAGTTACGAAGTTGTATATATAAATATCTGATTGTTTCTGAATGTTATTCATTAGCAAATGAAACTGAAAAAATTAGTAATTTTTTGTTCTTTCTACTTTTACCCTTTATGGCGGTTGATGGAGATGATACTTCAAACGCAAAACGGGATAATCTTGCAGATTTTATAATAATCTAAAAATTCGGTCTTATCTCTGCAGTTTTCTCTCCCCTCCAGATTCCCAAAAAAAAAAAATTCTGTCTTAGAGGAATGCACTTAAAAGAATATTATGAGAAAAAAATAATTGTCGATTTACTTTGTGAAATGTATTCTTCAATTTAGAATAGTCAAATATAATTTAAAAATCATGTCTCATCTATTATTGTTTTTTACAAATAAATTAAATGTTGCATCATTATATTAATTAAAATTTCACATTTTGATAGAAATTTTAATTTACCATAGGCACTCAGAATTTGGGTCACTAAGGGCTGAATTTGAGTAAAGGCTTTAAACATAGTATAAATCAAGGGGTTTGCATTCATCATTTAACATGATCACAAAAAATTTTCTACATACACAACATTTTGTGAGACCCGCATATTTTAAAGAAAAAAAACTATGGCACGCAAAATGAATCTCTATAACATAACACAATCATTTTTCCTACAACATAACTCTTATAAAACCTATAAATCAATGTTAAAAAAACTAAACCAACCCGGCTAGATCGACCCAAGAATCGATAAATCGGTCATATAACCGGTTCGGGTGAAGTAACGGACTGGCCATGCATCAGAACCGATGCAATCGGTTTTTGTGAAAACCGGTGTCCCGGCTCGGTCCCAAAAAAAAAATATCATAATGGATATATTTGAGTATTTTTTGCTTATTGACTTACATAGGTTATGTACCTACAACATTAATATTATCTCAATTATGCACTATGCAGGAAATTTTTAATTTGATTTATAGTTAGAGATGTCGTTTACTGAACTTGAAACCTCATATCACGATCATTTTATTTTTGTTTGATCATTTATTGGATAATAATGTGTGATTTATTATTTTATATATTAAAATATTTGAAATTTTTATCATTTTTTTAGATATTTGAATGTATTTATATTTTTTTAATATAAATTATAGAATAACATATAATTATCGGGTCATTCAATTGAACTAGTGACTTAACACCTCAACCGGATCAATGACCGGGTCGATTTTAATAACATTGGTACAAATAGCGGATGGATACTATTTAATTAACTTTAATAGCTTCCCGGACTCGCCCGCACTCAAAATTTGTCATATAAGTTATAGGGAATTGTTTTTCTTACGTAACATAAGGTGAAATTTCTCTACACTCACATATAAAGAGATGAGACTCATTTATATATTTTTTCTCTTTCCTATATTCTCTCTTCTCTCTCCTCTATATGTGTCTATAGGAGATAAGTTATATCCTATGCCACGTAAGAAAACAATTTTCCTAAGTTATAACCAATTAAAAAATCAAATTTGTGAAAAAATCTGAGAACCAAGGAGGCTCAACAAGATAATTAGAATTAGTTTCCAAAAATAGCTTCTAGCTTCTTCTGTTAATCATTTTTCTTAATAATTAAACATGACACACTGATGATATTTACTAATTTTTCCCACTTTATTAGCTTCCTGCTTCCCCTATTAATCATTTTTTTTAGTAATTAAACATGAAACTGGTAATATATACCATTTTTCTTCCCAGTTTCATTCCTTCCAATTTCTTTAAGGGTTCGTTTGGTACGATGCATTTTTTAAGATTCTTAAAAAACTGAATGATAATCATATTTATCCACGTTTGATACAAGTTTTGTAAAATTTCCCCGGGAATCTGATTTTCCCAGAGTTTTATTTTGTATGTAAATTTTTTTAAAAATACCATCCAGGGGATGGTATTCTAGAATTTCTATAGCAAGGAAAAATTTAATACAACTAAACACAGCATTAAGAAAATTAATCCAATATTTTCAGGAATATTTTAATCTACCAAACATTTTTTCGGTAACATTCCAAGAAAACTCATCTTCCTGAAAATCACGATTTTCAGATAAAAAAAAATTTCTCCTCTACCAAACGCCCCTTAAAAGGGACCAAGTTCCTTGGCCACAGTCCCAAGACAAAGTTTAGGCCAACGGCAATAAACTCCGCAACCCGAGCTATACGCACGGTAAATTCATTAACTAACTGTTGAGGAATTAATTCAAATCAAATACTCATTCATGGTTTGATTAACTCAAACATTGGTTCCAAATTTCCAATCAATTCATCAAACTAACATACACAGAAGATTTCAATAAGAAAACAAAATTCAAAAAAATCCACATTTGCATCGCAAATTATTTAAATATAATTCAATATTCAATAATTTGTAATGCATGATTACAAGCGTAAAAGTATATGGAGAAAAAGGCTAAAAACATTGCATTTCAAAATAAATAAAAGACATAAACCCATACAAAATCACACCGAGTTCAACATAGCTAATCAGACTCCACATATAGATATAGAATTATTTAACATAAATAATCATACAGGTCCCCATTCATCCCACACTAATATATTTCACCGAATGACTACGTTTAGGGGCTACAACACTCAAATATGCGTTGTTACGGACGGGAGTAATCACGTAGAGAGCTCACCTCCCTCTTCAGAAATGCAGGCAACGCAAAAGCAGCTGAGTGCATCTGCAGAAAAATAGAGTCATAAGATCTTACGTTAGTCCGTATTGCTGAAACGAGGGACAAGACCTTAGAAGCATCCATACCAATAGATTATACTTTACATGAATATTTATCAACGGTTAGCAATTGGCATCATTTAGTCCATAACAGAAGAGTAATGACAGACCAGAGCAAAACTTCAATGAGAAAAACACAAATAAAAAGCTACATGTTATAGGCTTATAGCTACCCACTATGATTCCCATATTCAATTCAAGACCAAATCTTTTGTTGCAAAAGAGAATAGATAACTCGGACCAATAAAGAAGGTTAAACAAGTAGAAAGGACAAGTATCTATGGACCATATTTACCTCCGAGTTATAGAACCGAAGTTCTCTTCTGTGCTTATCAGCACCTTCCAACTTTTCAATGGGGTTGATAGGGTTTACAAAATCAACAGGTGGCCCCTCCGTTGAGCATAGAAGAAAGCCTATCACACCACTGCATGCCAAGGAAGGGAGAGGATAAATGACATATTATCAAGATAAACCAAAATGTAAATCATGTTTCTTGAAGAAGAAAAAAAGATGCGCACTTCGTAATAGACTTCACTCCTTAGATTTGGATTTTGCCATTGCCAAGGCTAAGATTATACACCGATACAAAATGCCAGCCTATAAGGTAAGTGAAAATCTCGGTTTCCTAAACCAAAGTTCAACAATTATAACAAATTGAATCCACTCAAGGTAAAGTGAAAAGCTAGCACTAAACCCTGAATCACACTTAACGAAAATGTGACAAAACCCAGAAAAGCTAGGATTGACTTAACTGAATTTCTTAACTTTCCATTTTGTACACAAATCCATGACATTTTGAAAAAGTAAAAAGCGAAAGAATCTTGCTTCGTGAGAATTTTTCCTTACAACACACCAAACATAATAATATAATTTATGGGTTTCACTATCATAGTAGGTCCACATCAGTAGGAACCTCTTTATCAAGAGGTTGTAATTGTCCCTCTGTAAGAAAAATTACAACCTCTTGATATAAAGGTTCCTACTGATGTCCCGCTGTAAGAGTAATTTTATGCGGGGTGGAAGCAAAGAATGACTTAAGAAAATAGTAAATTTCAAAAAGTAACATCAAAGGAACTTCAAAGTGGAATAGAATATTAACTTATAAGCAAATTGAAAAGTGTAACTACCTTGGATATGTTGGAACACTTGTCCATGCATAATGAACAGAACCTTTGAATGTTTCTTGACAAATCGAGATCATATCTTGAATAAGGTGTGTATGAAGCCACATACTTTCTGCCATATTACAAAGCACTCCGCCAGGCCTTAATGCCTTTGCTATTGTCTCAAAAAATGGCTTCTCTACAAGTTCCTGAGCAGGACCTAAATTACAGAAGTTCCTGTAAGTTGTTGCAAATAATATCGAACAAAGGATGAATCTTAATGTTTTTTATCTTTCTATATAGTTAGTATGTGGCTGATCATTTTTAGTTTAGTGGATAACTCAAAGTAAATAATTTTAGCATCGAAATTTCTGAGAAAACCATAGGAAAATGATACTTTTGGATAAAAATCCAAAGCAGAGTTGTATTTAATGTAGATGTAGATAGTCGATCATAATACCACCCAATACTACAAACAGAAGTTGTCGCTGAAATGTACTCATAAATGAAGGCTAAACAACAAACTTGTAGAGAATAACCCTAATATAGAATAGCGTCAGATGGAGACAGGAGTTCAGGTCGACCTCATCTAGCTAAGGAATGTGGAAACAGAAGAAAAATTGTAGTTTCATCTCAAAACAATATTTTTCATTTCTTAATAGCAAATCTTGAGTTCGGCATTAATTCCAGTAATACACATGCCTTACTGAATATATTTGATGAATCATTTTAAATTGAAATGACATACCCACAGGATCTGAGGAATCAACAATTATGGCATCATACCTCCCTTCAGGAGCACGCCTAAGAAATTCAATAGCTGCCAAAAATCGGTGAAAAAAATATCAAGTGAAGATGATTACATAACCTTAAAGTTTGTAATCAGAAAATATAAAGCCACTGAATTGACTACTCAACAAACTTGTTTAAACAAAACTAACATATAATAGAAATATATACCATCACCAACATGCAGGTGTACTCTATGATCTTCAAACCCAACAGTTAACTCTGGAAAAAACTTCCTAGAAACCTAAAAAATAACAATGGCAATAAGTTCTTCTTATTAACAAAATAAGTTATATTAATGATTAAAATATGCCATAACTTACATCAATAACCATCTTATCTATCTCACAAATATCAATATGCTCCACAGAGCTGTGGCGGGATACTTCCCTTAGAACCCCACCATCTCCACCACCAACAACTAGAACCTAATTAACATAAAAATCACATAGCAGATTATGAAAACAGAAAGGAAGAAAAAAAAACATAAAAAAAGTGGAGTAAATTCAATCAAATTGGAATTTTTAATATGTCTCAAACATTTTCCCCAATGCAGATGAGAGCATAGAAACAAAAAACAAAAATGTGGAGTAAATTCAATCAAATTCAAAGTTTTAATGTCTCAAACACTTCCCCCCCATGGAGATAAGAGCATTGGAAACGTGAAGCACAACCTAGAAGTCTATCAAGAATAAGATGATAACATTGACAGAAATATTAAAGAATAGAACAGGAAGAAGCAACTGTCAAACTGCTGAATACAAAAAGAAGTACACAGCTAACTTTTGCAATATCATTTTCCCCAATTGATAATAAGCAACTGTATTTTTGAAATCGAAACTGCAGGTACTAAAATATTATGTTCAACAGACATGATAAAAGCTGAGACTGAATCTAATGATCATCAGAACAAATGAATTTACAGTTTTGGGGGACTGAATTGAACAAAGGGGAAGATGAGCTATCATCTCCTGGTAAGCACATTCATCCTTCTCAGTCAACTGAACAATCCCATCAAGTACAAGCACTTTCCCATATGTGGATGACTGTAAAACAAAAATATTAGTGTTAATCACTAAAACTAGAATTTATAATAGAATATTATAAAAGGAAGAGGCCAAACCTCAAACACCAAAACCTCTTGGTACTCTGACTTTTCCTTGTATAAGATCTTTTCTACTTTGACTGAATGGGCTTCTCCTAATTATAGACACGAGCCATCAGCAGTAGCCATACATAAAAAAAGATGCACACTCAGCAATTAAAATGAGAGTTTTTATAAATATCTGTAAAATATGGAGATTGGTGAGCATGATTTGTAGTTCAGATAGGAGAAAACAAAACAAAGTATTGCATTTTATAAGTAAAAAGACAAAGGGATGTTACTCCAAAAGGTCTAACACAGAAACAAAGAAAGCGGGTTCCATACAGTAACACCAAACATTTAGGTCATCCTCCTCAGCCAAAAAGTAATTTTCAATGTCATACACGGATTTTCTTTTCCCATTCAGCCTTCATTATGAAGGCTAATCGGTATCTGAAGTTTACAATAATCATGAAAGTCATCAAAAGATGAATATGATCACTCTTTGGGGATCAAAAGTGATAAAGGATGAAGAAATCTCACTCCAATGGTCATAAGGCAATAATACAAGCAGTGTGTAGATATATGAGAAACACCCACCTGGCCACATTGGATTGTTGAAATAAACATCTTTCCCAGATTTCCCTGTAAAAAAGAAGATAAAGTGGAAGAAAGTAATAATTTTTTGAGTCCAGCAATAGGGTCTATGTAGTGCCAACCCAATAATACAACAGATTCTAGTAGTGGAAGGGTGTAGGGGAGGCATATTGCAGGAAAACATAAATAAAATAGCAGATAATGACCAGAGCAAGTTTGAGATGTTGAGAACCACCCAGAAACAACAGTGGAATGGCACTTTGCGTCCAACTCAGGGGCTGAAGCCTTAGCCTTCAAACAACAGGAAGGAATCTCCTTCTCTAAACCATTCCTGCTACTCGCCTTCCCATCCATAGTCTTCTGGCATTCCAAACCTCTTCCTGCGCCGTCCTCCATAAATTACCTTTTTCTTCTCTGGCTCCAGTCTCTGTAAAATAAGCATAAGAGTTGTCACAAAAAAAATCAAATAATGATAACCAGAACTCCAAGACCAAAAACTTAACCTCTTTTCTTAAGTTCACCTAACACAAATCCAGCACTTACAAAATCAAATAGCAGAGAGTGAAGGGGAAACACAATGGCACTAGCAAAACTTTTCGCATTTAAATTCCAAGCAAAAGTATCTCCATTTATAAGCACAAACCCCGTATAGCAGAGTTGGAAAGTATTACCTTTCTTATTATATTTGGTTTTATAAATTAAGTTTTGCCTTTTGTTCACTAACAAAGTAAAGTACGGAACATATGCTTCCTAAAATAATGAACAAAATGATTAAGAAAACAAGCCACAAAAAAAGAAAAGTGCTACACAACTCTACAATGGACAATTGGCCATAACTTGAATTATAAATTAATAATATCAAAGCAGAATGAAATTATAACTGTCTGCAGCTTGATATCAGTTTCCAAAAACAATAATAAATTATGACACTTGCAGTATTAATCATTCATTCAATAGATGTATCAATCAAATCATAGGCCAAACTAATGTGCCAAAACGAATTTATCTTATGTCCAAGTTAAGCTGCACAAGCTCTGATTTTACGGGGGCCCATGTTACCACAACAGAAACAAAAACATTACTTCAAATTTTGCCTTTCCTTCCGTTTCCAGGTTTTTTTTTTTTTTATACACGAAATCAAATAATAATATTTATATTATAAATAATACTATAAGTGATTAACTAGTCCTGTCAGAGAGTTCCAACTGTCTGTTTGGTAGGCCAGAAAACATAGAAAAATAATAGAAAATGTATACAAAAAACCCTTAAAGCTTAACAGTATATGATATAAAACTATAATAAGCTCCAACATGTTATTGCTATCGTGAGCCGTCAAATACCACAAATTTCTAATGTTTTTTGCTGGCAGAACCACATAAAGCGCTAGGGTTTAGCATATAAATATAGACACACACACACATATATATATATATATATAAGAAAAAGTAGAAGCATAAATTGCAAAGAGTGTAGTTTAAAAAAATAAAGAGTTGAAGAAATGGAATGGATAAAGCGAAGAAAGGGTGATGATCGGAACAGAGAATGTTATGAGAGACAAAGTGGCTTGCCTGATAGTGAGAGAATGGTTTTCTGGATTGTACGGTGCACGTGCGAACCACACACGAAGATGGATACACACTCACTCTATCGCCCTTTCCACCTTCTCTCTCTCTCTCTCTCTCTCTCAAACCTTGCTTTGCTCGACAATGGAGTCTCTATGCCCTTATTTATAGAGATTTTTAGAGATGCTCTTGTTCTGTTCTGGCTTTCGCCTTTTCTTTTCTTTTTTCTTCGACTTTTTTTTTTCAATTTTTTGTATTCAGTGTCTCGGACATCGACCCAATCGAGGTTGGATTAATGGATCATTGGTTGGATCGGTCAATTCATATATATAAATATAAACATATAAATTAATTATATTCTTCATATCTAAAATAAGTTCAAAAATTACTCAATCACACAAAAATTACTAAATTATACTTTTACAAGTTTATGAAACACAAATAAATAAAAATGCGCATTATTACTATGTCAATTTAAATTGTAACTCAGAATCCTGATAAGCATATTTTTAATGGCATTGAACTTATATTTTTTAAATTTATCTATATTGAAATGACATGTGTCACTTTCTCTTCATTTATTGTTCTGCAAATTGTTTTAATATTGAAAGCTGAAATTTGTCATTGTAAAAGAGTATACTAGCAAATAAAATTACAAAAAGTTTTTAAAATGAGTTCTACATTTTTTTAAGAAGATGAAACAATTTTGGTTTCTTCTTCTTCTTTTATATAAAAATGCATGACCCGACCGAGTTACCGGATTTTGACCGGACCCGATACATGACCGATCCAATGCTTGACCCGAACCGATCTGATGACCAGTTCACCGATTTCGGGTCGAGCCGGTTTCACAACAGTGGTTTAAATGATATATATTTATGGGTATGGAATACAGCTTGAGTATGGAATTATCTATAAGATTGAGTATGGAATTATGTTTACTCACTTGAAATTAAGTATTCACCCCGTGTTCGGTTCTATTAAACCGTATAATGATACCTCAAGGTATGCGCTCAGAGATATCCTATGGATAGGTATCTTGGTTGGCTTATAACCAATATCCTCATCACTGCGCACAAGCAATAGGCTTATAGCCGAGACGTGGGTGTGTGCACAGTGTGGGCAGAAGTAGTAAATGAGTTCAGAGTATGTACATGGAGTCTTTAACCTCTTATTTACAAGGGTTACCTCTTGGGCTTGTGTTGATCTCCCAGTTGTAGTATGATTTAACTTCCTTTCTGTTGGGATAGGGACTCTATCCTTAGCAACCTTACTGTTTTATATTGTTAGGATAATTGGGTAGTTATCCTTTAAGGGATCCTTGGGTAGGTGGTTAGGATATGAAAATATTCCATAACAGTTGCCCCCCAGCCCGACAGTTCGGAAGCTCGGACTGCTAGGGTGCCTAAGTTTGATTGATAGGTCGACCCTACCGAGGTACTATGATCCTGTCTTGGGTCTGGTGCGACTACCTCTTCTTGGTTTAGCTTTTTATATTGGCTTCTTTTCTCTTGAAGTCTCTGAGTGGTGAGGCGGTGTTTGCCTTTTTTTGACTTTGAGCTCGGCTTCTTATACCATAGCTTTCTTTAAATTGACTTGGGCTGAGTTGAAGCTCAAGGCTGAGGCCGAACTTTTAAACTTGAAGCCCTTTGTTGGGCTGAGCTCAAGGCCGAGGTCGAGCTAATAATTTTGAAGCTTTTTGTTGGGCTGAGTTGAAGCTCAAGGCTGAGGCCGAGCTTTTAAACTTGAAGCCCTTAGTTGGTCTTTTTTATCTGAACCCGGCTTTTTATGTCGTGGTCTTTTGATTTGTGTCCCGCTTCTTTCGCGGGGGCTTTTTAATCTAAACCCGACTTTTTATGTCATGGTCTTTTAATTTGAGCCACGCTTTTTTCGCAGAGGCTTTTTTATCTGATCCCGGCTTTTTATGCCGTGGTCTTTTGATTTGAGCCCCGCTTCTTTCGCGGAGGCTTTTTAATCTAAACCCGACTTTTTATGTCGTGGTCTTTTAATTTGAGCCCCGCTTCTTTCGCAAAGGCTTTTTTATCTGATCCCAGCTTTTTACGCCATGATCTTTTAATTTGAGCCCCGCTTCTTTCGCGGAGGCTTTTTTAATCTGAACCCGGCTTTTTATGTCGGGGTCTTGTAGAGACGGAGATTCTCGTTGGCATTGGGGTTCTTGAGCTTCTTGCACGACGATCGCCCTTCATGCTTTTTTATTTCATGATGAGCCCCATTGTATTAAGATTTGGTTGTGGCAACGCTTCTCTTGCTACCGCGGTGATTATCCATGGCTTTACGCTTGTGCTCTGCGTGCTCACTATAGTTGGGTGGGATCGAACTTTACGGTTTCCCACAGACGGCGCCAATGTTCGGTTCTATTAAACCGTATAATGATACCTCAAGGTATGCGCTCAAAGATATCCTATGAATAGGTATCTTGGTTGTCTTATAGCCAATATCCCCATCACTGCGCACTAGCAATAGGCTTATAGCCGAGACGTGGGTGTGTGCACAGTGTGGACATAAGTAGTAAATGAGTTCAGAGTATGTACCTGGGGTCTTTAACCTCTTATTTATAAGGGTTACCTCTTGGGCTTGTGTAGATCTCCCAGTTGTAGTATGATTTAACTTCCTTTCTGTTGGGATAGAGACTTTATCCTTAACAGCCTTACTGTTTTATATTGTTAGGATAATTAGGTAGTTATCCTTTAAGGGATCCTTGGGTAGGTGGTTAGGATATGGAAATATTCCATAACACCCCCCTTCCTGCTAGGATTAGAAATCTTGTATTTTACATTTCCATGCGATTGAGTCCTTGGGTTTCCAAAATAGTGTAAAATGCTTCAAATCATTGCTATTTGATTAGGGCCAATTCTAAAAAAAATTGAATCATTAATTGTTTGTTGACACATACAAAGTCAAAGAAAGATCGATTCCATTAGGAACGAGGATGTGAAATATCACATATTGATCAATCAAAGAGATATTCAACAACTAGAAGAAACATCGATTCTTTGTTGGGATTTTTCCTTTCTTCAAACGGAACGAATAGAGATAGAATCAAAGCAATTCCCTAAATGTTGTCCTAGATATTCCTCAATGTGCCGACTATTCACGGAACGTGAGAAGCAGGTGAATAATCATCTGTTAAGAGTCAATCGTTCCCTTTTCTTTGACAGATGGTCAAGATGTCATTTGGGATCGAATCCTATCGAGAGGTTCATTAGAGATCATAAATTATTGAAGAAAGAACAAGATGTTTCTTTTGTTCTTTCCAAGAGATCGAAAAAGAAAGAAATAATTAATATATTCAAGATAATTATGTATTTACAAAATAGTATATCAATTCATTAGATTCGGGATCTTCGGCCTCAATGGAAAAAGAAAAAGAAAAAGAAAAATAGAGCACCTAAAAATGTATATTCATGACCAAGAACTACGAGATCGACCATTTCATTTTGGGGTGATTGCGGGATCGTACCATTCAAGCCTTTTTTCATGCTTTTCCTGGGGTCTAAAAAAAAAACTGCAATCAATAGGTTTTTCCTAATCCTTCTTTCCCGAAAGGAAGAGAGTGAATTCCCCCCCCCCCCTCTTTCCGCAGGAACCAAGAGATTGAATCTAGCCTTAAGAAGAATTTGATGGTTGGCATATAAATAACTCAGTTCTTGGTCTTCAAAGGATCATACTATTGCATTCTTAGTGCCCTCATTCTCACTCCCCTTCACATACATCACCAAGGTTAACGCGGTTAATAATATCAGCCCAAGTTCAATATGATTCCATGAAATCTTATTTCATTCAAGTAACGGATTCTAGCCAATTGAAAGGATATTGTGACCAATCCAGGGATCATTTCGATTCCATTAGGAATGAGGATTCAAAATATAACACGTTGATCAATCAAAGAGAGATTCAACAACTAAAAGAAAGATCGATTTTTTGTTGGGATCCTTCCTTTCTTCAAACGAAACGAATAGAGATAGAATCAGAGCGATTCTCTAAATGTCGTTATGGATATTCCTCAATATGCAAACTATTCATGGAACGTGAGAAACATATGAATAATCATCCAAAAGCCAATTTTTTTTTTCTGCCGGGTGGTTAGAACGTCATGTGAGGTCAAATCAAGTGATGATACTTCTCTCACTCCCCTTCTCTCGCAGTTAATGAAACCTACTAATGCAAAATAGTCATAACTTTCCTTCATTATCATTATAAAATCTTCTCAATTTATAAATATCTCATCTTCTATCATTTAGGAATGAGGAAAATACCTTTGACACACCAATCATATTGTTGATACTACGCTGGAAGACAAAAACAGAGTTATCGTACCCTACACTCCTAATGTGAATTATAATGGCTGAGGGAAACAAACCTAGATCTATTATGCAAACCGTTAATATTGAATGAAAATATAACAAAGTTTTTTTTTTTTTACTTTGCATTCAAATTAAGCTTATCATTGTAGTCTAATATTTGAATAATGTATTATTATTCAACGATAATCGAAAACATTTGTTAAAAGATTATTTTTATCTCATTTTACATGATATAAATAACTTTTCTACAAAAAAAAAATATATATATATTGGGTCTCACCATTTTTTTTCTCTCCTCTTATCTGTGAATCTCACTTATAATTTTATTTCTACATTATAAGATAACTATTTTCCTATAATATAATCAAAATATTTTCCTTTGTTAAAACCTAATTAAAAAGCGCATATACGGACTCGGAGAATGAAGACGGACAAAGAATTAAATAGTATGTATTTAAGAAAAAGTGGAGAATGTACAAGCACGTGTTTTTTTTTCTTTTTTTGGATAAGCCTATGCTTTTTTATTTTTGATTGTCCTTTTTTTCTGGATAACCCTGTCTTTCGTTGGTTAGCAAAGAAAAAGTGGGTGCTTTGCTTTGCAATTAAAAAGACTGAACTCAACCCACCCAAAAAAAAAAAGGACTGAACTCATGTAAAAAAAAATAAAAATGACAGAACTCAACAGAAGTTAGCTCATTTATTTTTATTGTAAATAACAAGTATACAATTTTGGATTTAAATGATATTTTTTATTTTATTAGTAAATAGTTTATAATTGTTGAGATATATAGTCCCACATTGGTTGTATGTGCAATTAATGTGGAATTTATAAGGCCTTGGGGACTCTCACCCCTTGAGCTAGCTTTTGAGGTAGTGACCTCAAGG